GAATGAGGATACAAATAGCAAACCCTAGAAGGGTTGTACTCGCTATAGAGCACCCCACTACAGGCTAGAGCATAATATTCTGACAGTGAACTGGCCTTGTGGCCGCTTTCTTGTGCTCGGACTGTGTGGTGACGTCGTGATCCACCCTGAGCTTGCTTTGCTCTTCTTGACTGGTCTTGTGACCTCTTGTTCTCCCCCACTTCGCCTATGGGGGTGTGTCAAACTCATATGCTATAGTCTGTGTAGGCTGTAGTGGGGTAGACAAGATGGGGTACATCACTTTTAGGTTCACTACTTGTACCCACCTGCTTCCTAGTCATTCCATTCACTCGTACTATTCTCACAAATGCTAGAAAGTAGTTTGTAACATTTTAGTTTTTTCCCACGGAGCGCAGCGTAGGACTTTCAGGGCGATCTTCAATCCAGCGCAGCTTCTGTCTCTTTTGTCTTTTGCGAAACTTTCAAGATTCTTGAACTCGAAATTGTTCAACAGTATGCTCGATCGCAACTGGTTTTGCCACTCTAGTTAGGCGAATTCTGCACTCGTTAACCTTCGCAAACCCACTTTCAAGTTCAGAATTTTTGAAAAGTTGCCATTCTAGACTCGGGCTTTAAGGACTATGTCAATGAGACAATAGTCCTGGATGATGGCGGAGCCAATGTGGGTATCGAGGGTGTCCTCAAATGATGCCCAATTCGCAGCAATGGTGTCGTGAAATAGCTCAAGCTTGCCAATAGCTCTGAGCTCAATGGGAGTGGAGTCGTTCGCCATGAAGAGCGAGGTGAGAGGATAAGGAAGGGTGACGACACCGGCTTGAGGGCGGGTGCGATTAACGGGAGGACGACACCACCGGGAGGGGTGGCGCGGATGTGGGTGGAGATATCGCATCAGCGGCTAGAAGCGTCCGCGGCCGGTCGCACCCGCGGCTGGTCTCGGTGGGTGGTCGCCAACGGTTGATCGCCCGCGGCTGGTTGTCCGCACTAGCCACGGAGGTCGGCCACGGTCACCGAGGGCGCATATGTCTCGGCTGTCTTTGCGGTCGTGGCGGCTGCCCGTGATAGCCAAGATAGCCGCTCCTGCAGCTGATTTGCAACAAAGTAACCCAAGATTATTATGAGCTGTGAGATATTCTAAAGAGGTTGCATATCGCGCGGACGATGGTGGAGATCTTTAGGATAATTTAGGATAAAGTATCCTAAAGAGGCTGCAGGACGAGGGGTGGCGCGGACGAGGGTGGAGATACTTTGCAAATAAAGTATCTCCACCCTCCTCCGCGACATCCTTTACGTATGGAATCTCATGAGGACGACATACTCTATTCGAATAAGGTATGGACATACTTTATCTCAACAAGACAAGGGGACGAGGCTGGAGATACGAGGGGACGAGGACGACATACTTTGGCGTGGACGAGGGTGGAGATACTTTGCACGATAGAGTAGAACGACATCCTCGCTGCTGCAAAAAAATACTTAAGATCGATGGGGACAACCGCGCGCGACATCGAGAATGAACGAGTCATTACGCCACTCGAATCTCTCCTAATTGTCATTCTTTGCGACTCACCCCTCGAGACGTGGGTACATCTTGTTTGTTATCTTGCGTCGAAGAAGGTTAAGAATTATCCAGCAAAGGGTTGCGGGACCTACCATACCGCGTGAATGTTCAGCTGTACAACGAATCCAATTTGTGGTCTTGCGCATTTGTTTATTTCTAACATATTCCTAGTTGACCTACGTGACAGATACAGGTTCAAACAACTCACTCTATCAACGGCTACGTGGCTGCACGCAATGCACTATTGCCAACCCCTTCGTGAGTTTCAGCTGCGACGAGAGTACAGATAGGTGTCGGGAAAATATGTTATCGTTTTTTCGTCGTTCATTTGAGACAGCAAGCCCATGACAAAGTTCCTCGCCCTACTAACGGTGGACAAGTGCGATGGCGCTTCTTTGCTCGCAGTTATGTTATCGCACATGCACGCACTGGGCATTAAGCTTGAGAAGATTGCAGCGGTTAGTATTGATGGCGCTAGGGTATGATACGGCAAGTGGAACGGGCTAGTCGCAAGTCTGCGACTACGCATCCCACATCTCAGAGACTCTGCCCGAGTTTGGCGTGGTTGGCTCCCTAATCCGTGTAGTCGCTGATCATGTCGACTATTTCTCCCCTTGGAAGCAACATTTTCGCATGAGGTCTTCACAATGACTAGCCTTGAGCTCCAAGGAATACGCAACGCAATTGAGAGGCTAGGATCCATTTAGAATATCGCTCATCACGACGTCACCACCCTAGGCCGTTTTATGTCACTAGGTCGCGGTGGCGGCCGATAGTGGGAGTGTGCGTGTTTATTGTTATGACCTATGATGAGGTCACGTTGATCACGTCCAAGTGGAGCATCATCGTAAGTGTGCGCCTTGGTTTAGCAACGGATGGTGGTTCGTAGATGCGCTTATAAGGTGGAGTTTTTAGACCCATCAGGCTCCCATCATGCTCCGCGTTGCAAGCACTAATGTGCTCACTTCCGAGTGCACGACGTGTTCAAGTTTGGTGTGGCTAGGATATACAAAGGGTTTGCTTGGGTTGTTTGTGGCCATGGATGACGCCACTTTGTCGATGGGAGGAATTGATGTTCTAGTTCGGGGGCCAATGGAGGGGAGGCCCATGTCTCGAGGTCAGTGTCGTGGACCATATTTCATTTCATTTGCAGCAGCATGGGCATAATAGCTGCACGGTAGGTTTACTAGGGAGGCATGGGGGTGTTTGGAATGGGGGGTTATCTGATGGTTGCGATAGCAAGGGGACATCCAGCTCTAGGTGGAAATTTTGAAGGGGACAGGTCGGGGCAATAGAAAGTGGCGCTCAACGTATTTACGTAGTTGGTTTATTGAAGGCTAATATTACGGTCATTCCGATACTTTGACAGACGCAAGTGATGGAGTTATATCCAGAGTCCATAACGAGCAGTGCTGGTGCTGAACAAGAAGAGATGCCACAAGAGGACTGATGTGGCGCTCCGTGAGCAGACATGCCATATGTCAGAATCCCAACCACTTAGACTATTGGGATAAAATGGCTTCTTTGTGTAGCGGGTTTGTGCGCCCACAACCCCTCAAGCGAACGCGCCTGTAACCCCCCCTAGGATCAATCGGGCATCTACAGTGCAGATCTACCGACACCCCCCCACACCGGGAGGCCCAAGACTGAGCACAGCGGCAACGGCCTACATGTGCATACACCGGGATTCGAACCCGAAACCGCTCTGATACCATGTCAGAATCCCAACGACTTAGACCATTGGGATAAGATGACTTGTTTGTGTAGCGGGTTTGTGCGCCCATAACCCCCCAGGCGAACGCGTCTGTAAACCCCCATAGGATCAATCGGGCATCCACAATGCAGATCTAATGACACCCTACATGGTGGAGTTGCGAGTTTCGTGTTTCTCTTTGGGGTCTTAGTCATATGCCTTGCAGATCTGCTCCAGGTCCTATAATTGGTTTTAAACATTTTATGGAATCATACATAAACATCTCGTAGTCATGAATCTCAGACCTGGATTTCTCCTTTTCTCTGTTTTTCAGACCTGGTGAATTTCAACTCGCCACCTCCAATACACGTTTTAGGGTCAACCAGGCTGCACCAACAATGACATACTTTAATTTAAATGATTGTAATAGCAAGACAGCTAGCCACCTAATTTTGGCTGATACGTACGAACACAATGTGAGCAAGTTCTGCCTTTTTTATACATAAAATAAACATTCCGTATGGAGGAAAATGAAAGACAAAATATATTTTTATATACAACGTGGAAATAAAAAGTTACTCTTGGGTCTACGTATCGTAGTGGTGGATTCCAAGTAACAACGACTAGTCATGGGTGATTTATTCACTTCATAACAAACCATTTTCCAGTTAAGTGCGCATCCTGTGCAAATTATAAGCAAAATAACATTGATTTCTTGATGGGCATCCTTTGTTGTCATATTTCTGGATTAACAGACTTAGAACGGATATGTTGTCGTGCTATAGCTTATAACGGTTCTCTTGCTGCCTCCCGCCAGATGGCTGCGGAATTCCTGACCTCAGCTTTTCCCGAATTGCTCTTCATCGCTATCGTTGAGCATCACTCTTTCTGCTTGCAGGCCAGTGCGAGCCATCGATCTCGTCATGCTGACCTGGTAGGGACGACTCAGATGAAAGGAGTCACACATCCCTATCGGCGAGGTCAACCAGGCACTCTTCAAAACCGTCAACCTGGAAGGCAGAACCAGACCAGATCAAGCTAGCCTCGACATGTTCGACGAGGCAGGCTACAAGGTGTGACGCAGGTTTGGTTGGTGGTGAATGAAGCAGTCAACCTCGCACTATCTGCCCAAGCTCAGAATTTGGCTAAAGAAGGTGGCTTATCTAAACCGAGCCAGTGCCAGACCTGCTTCCACGAGCCAACGCTACTACTCCAGGCCTCGAAATCACCTCGAAGTTATCAATTTCCCTCTCAACGTGTGCTCAGTGAACTGACTGCACGGACGGAGTGGAGTTGTCAAGCACAAACAAACCGGGCTGGTCTGTAGTGGAGTTCAGGAGCCATTGCTTCGTCGCTGGTGCTCCTCGCATCTTCTTGCCGCATTACGCTCACGGAACAGCCGATCAGAATACGGCATTCCATAGTCTCCTAGGCTCGATTCCTACGTCCCAGTCATGGACTCGTTCACTGTGTGCGTCGGCGCGGGAAGGCCTTCCGTAGATGCCGCGCGCAATTCGCTGATTGTAGGTGGTTGATTGTAGCTGGTAGCTCGCTACTTAATTGTAGCTGGTAGGTGGTCATTTGTGCTGTCAAAGGTCGATTGTAATTGACGCATCCACTCGTGGAATGGTAGTATCGAGATTCAGGCGGTTTAACCGAGAAATGTTGCATAGATGATTCGTCCTGAATTACCCCGACTTTTTCGTTTCGACTTCATCCCTGTCTTGCGCTGTTCTTCTGCTGCTGCAGACATCGCCGTTGCTTCTCGAGGAACCAATTCGACTGGCCTCGATACTGGAACACTCTCACTATCACGTAATACCTCAGCCGTCGCAACTTCGCCTCGTAGTAAATTGCACGTGTCGTCATTACCATCACATGTGGCTTCATTGCTTTCGTTTGCACCTTCACGAGTACCAGTCTGTGTTCGTAAATGCCACGCTACCAGACTGTTCGGTACATTTCCCCTTCCTCGGCGATCCACAGGGTTTTAAGTCGGTCGTAAAATCATACGGACAACATGCTCTATTACCTCCTTTCCCTTTTCATTAAGCGTCACACCTCGCTCACCTTCCGTAAATCTCTATATCGCGTACGCTGTGAATGCCAGAGGTCGGTCCCATGCCTGACCAAGATCGTGGGGACGGTAGGCGGCAACTCGAAGACCGTGGAGCAACTGTCGGCTCTGCTTGAAGCGGGCATGACAGGTGCGCGTGTGCTGGGGGAACGGAATTGTGTTTTTACGAAAAGCGCAGGGAAACAAGAGGGGTGGGAGTGTGAGGAACGGTAGGCGGCAACTCGAACACAGTGGAGCAACTATCGGCTGTGCTCGAAGCGGGCATGACAGGTGCGCGAGTGCTGGGATAATGCGGGGTTGGGTTTCTTGCAAATGGCACGGTGAAAGAAGATGGGTGGGAGTGCGTGCGGGGTAGGCGGCAACTCGAAGACCGTGGAGCAACTGTCGGCTCTTCTTGCAGCAGGCATGACAGGTGCGCACGCAAGTGCTGGGGTGAGGGGAATTGGGGGATGTGTTTGTTGCGAAAGGTGCGGGGAAAGAAGAGGAGTGGGATGGGAGTGGGTGGGGGGAAACGGTAGGCGGAAACTCGAAGACCGTGCAGCAACTGTCGGCTTGCTCGAAGCGGGCATTACAGGTACGCGCGCGCGCGTGTGCTGGGGTGAGGGGAAGAAGGGGATGGGGATGGGGTGGCGGCAATGGCTCGGGGAAGGGAGAGGAACGGACGGTAGGCGAACTCAAAGGTCGTGGAGCAACCGGGTATGAGAGATGCGCTGACGGGTAGAATAACGGGGATGAAAAGGGGGGGTTGGAGTGTGCTGTTGATAGGCATGACGCATGATGCATACGTGCATTTCTTTTTAGAATGGGGTGGGAAAACGGAACAGGGTTGATTGGTAAAGGTGTGAGCATGGTATGCGTACGGGGTCAAGAATCGTCACTCCCCTTTCTGCAGCCTTGTTGCGTGATTCCATGTCCCATCCCACCTCCCTGTCCCCTCCCCCCCCAAAAAACCCTTACCAATCCCCCCCGCTCCCTCCCTTCCTTCTCCTCCCTCAACCCAATCCAAGTCACCCCCATCCACCTGACCCCGTACCGTACAGCTGCACGGTTTGCTTTCTTAGTGAACGACATTTCTGGAGGCGCCTAGAAGGCTCACTCACTTCTCATCTCCCACCGGTCTGCGTCACCCTCACTGCCACGCGTCCCCCCACCCGTCACCCCTCCCCCCTCTCCCCCCCCCCCCCCCCCCCCCCCCCCCCTCCCCTCCACCCCCTCCTCCCGCCCTGACAGCTGCACGGTTCGACTTCTCTGTGAGTGATCAGGAGAACCACCAGACCAGGAGACGTACAAGAACCACGTAGAAGGCTCACTTTCGTCCCTCTCTCTCCTCCTCTCGCTTCTCTTCTCCCCACGTGCAATGCTGCTGTCTGTCGCCCCCGTTCCCCAACCCCCTGACAGCTGCACGGTTCGACTTCTCTGTGAGCGACCAGGAGAACCACCAGGAGACGTACGAGAACCTGCGGGAAGCCATGAAGAAAACGCACCGCATGTGCGCGGTAAGATGGGCTTAATCGTGATGCACACTATGCTACAGTTCGTACAGTACAGTACAGTACAGAACAGGACAAGGAAAATATGATAAAAGAAACAATTAACATAACACCCTGAGAGAAAAAAAGGAAAAAAAACAGCTGAGTGCATTGCTTGCATGCAGTAGTCAGAGCGCGATGTAAGCCGCCCGCGGCCCGCCAGAGTGGCTTACAGAGGTCTCTCAGGAAGTGCAATGAGGAGAGAGCGAGAGAGCATCGCATGCAGTAGAGTGGAATGATACTTATTACTCACGACAGTCACGACTCACCACCTTGATTTCACACACATAATTGAATTCTCGTTCTTACCACCTCACTCACCCTACACCCTCTCATGCCCCGCCTCCTCAGATAATGTATGATATGGCATGCACGGGCCCAAAATATCCAACAGCAGCAACGCGGAGGGGTGGTGATGGCTCTAGACGCATTCGTGCATCCATCCGTGTGTGTTTCTCGTTCATGTTGCTGTGATGGTCACCAGCATAGCCTCACGCACACTCTCTCCTCGTTCTCTCACCCCGCCTCCACCACAGACAGTGTACGACACGCACGGGCCCGAGATCACCATCGCCAACACCAACAACGCCGCATTACTTACCAGCACAGCCTCACGCGCGCATGTATTCCCCTTCTTCTCCCCACCCTCCATCAGACTGTGTACGACACGCACGGGCCTGAGATCACCATCGCCAACACCAACAACACCGCATTACTTACCAGCACAGCCTCACGCGCGCATGTATTCCCCTTCTTCTCCCCACCCTCCATCAGACTGTGTACGACACGCACGGGCCTGAGATCACCATCGCCAACACCAACAACACCGCATTACTTACCAGCACAGCCTCATGCGCGCATGTATTCCCCTTCTTCTCCCCACCCTCCATCAGACTGTGTACGACACGCACGGGCCTGAGATCACCATCGCCAACACCAACAACACCGCATTTCTTACCAGCACAGCCTCACGCGCGCATGTATTCCCCTTCTTCTCCCCACCCTCCATCAGACTGTGTACGACACGCACGGGCCTGAGATCACCATCGCCAACACCAACAACACCGCATTACTTACCAGCACAGCCTCATGCGCGCATGTATTCCCCTTCTTCTCCCCACCCTCCATCAGACTGTGTACGACACGCACGGGCCTGAGATCACCATCGCCAACACCAACAACACCGCATTTCTTACCAGCACAGCCTCACGCGCGCATGTATTCCCCTTCTTCTCCCCACCCTCCATCAGACTGTGTACGACACGCACGGGCCTGAGATCACCATCGCCAACACCAACAACACCGCATTACTTACCAGCACAGCCTCACGCGCGCATGTATTCCCCTTCTTCTCCCCACCCTCCATCAGACTGTGTACGACACGCACGGGCCTGAGATCACCATCGCCAACACCAACAACGCCGCATTACTTACCAGCACAGCCTCACGCGCGCATGTATTCCCCTTCTTCTCCCCACCCTCCATCAGACCGTGTACGACACGCACGGGCCTGAGATCACCATCGCCAACACCAACAACGCCACAGTGACGATGACAGCAGGCAGCACGGTGGTGCTGTCAGGCGACAAGGACCACCCCGTCACTGCCCAGGCGCTGCCCCTCGCCTGCCCCCAACTCGCCAAGGTGAGCGGGAGGGGCGTGTGTGTGTGTGTGGAGGGGGGGGGGGAGGAAGGTCGGGTATGACGGTGGCAGCTGCCCACACGCTGCCCCTCGCCTGCCCCCAGCTCGCCCGGGTGTGTGTGTGTGTGTGTGTGCATCCCTCCCTCGCTGCCATCTCCCAAACCGTGAAGCCAAGCACATGCTCTCATCCAGTCCAGTCTCATCCCTTCTCCCTGCTCTCCTGCCCGCCCCTGCAATCCCCAGGCGGTGAAGCTAGGGGACGAGGTCTTTGTGGGGCGCTACCTCTTCACAGGCAGCGAGACCACCACCAGGCAAATGCACATGTTTTCAGCCAATCACATCTGACCCCCCGCACCACCCCTGTATTTCCCCTCCCTTCCTGCCCAATGCCCATCCCACCCCAGGCGGTGAAGCCAGGGGACGAGGTGTTTGTGGGGCGCTACCTCTTCACAGGCAGCGAGACCACCAGAAAGCACACGCTCTCAATCACTCACATCAACACCCCCCACCTCCTGTCCCTCCCGCCCGCCTCTACCCACCCCAGGCGGTGAAGCCAGGGGACGAGGTGTTTGTGGGGCGCTACCTCTTCACAGGCAGCGAGACCACCAGAAAGCACACGCTCTCAATCACTCACATCAACACCCCCCACCTCCTGTCCCTCCCGCCCGCCTCTACCCACCCCAGGCGGTGAAGCCAGGGGACGAGGTGTTTGTGGGGCGCTACCTCTTCACAGGCAGCGAGACCACCAGAAAGCACACGCTCTCAATCACTCACATCAACACCCCCCACCTCCTGTCCCTCCCGCCCGCCTCTACCCTCCCCAGGCGGTGAAGCCAGGGGACGAGGTGTTTGTGGGGCGCTACCTCTTCACAGGCAGCGAGACCACGTCCGTGTGGCTCAAGGTGGGTGGGTTAGATGGTGAGATGCAATGCAAGGTGTGAAGAAATTGCTTGTATGGAAGGAATGACTCTGGCCTTTAGGCCTGAATGGTCGTGACTCGTCAGTACTGCTGTGTGGCTCACGGTGAGCCGTGCCTGAAGGAGATGCTTGCATTCAAGGCATCCTATCCTTCGAGTCGACTCAAAAGTCACCTAGATGCTTGCATTCAAGGCATCCTATCCTTCGAGTCGACTCAAAAGTCACCTAGATGCTTGCATTCAAGGCATCCTATCCTTCATTTTTGTTCCCACCCACCTTCTCCTTCTCTTCTCCGCAGTCTTTTCATTTTATCCAGCTGCCCTTCACCACCCATCCGCCGCGCTCTTCATCTGTTTCCATTTCCCCCCTCCCCCTCTCCTCCCTCCCACACTTCCCCCCTCCCTTCCCTTTATCCCTTCCTCCTCTTCGCCCCCGCTCCCCCACTCCCCGTCTCCTCTTCTTTATTTTCTCCCTCATGGTCTTGAGGCGCCTTGAACCAACTCTTCTCCCACTTCTCCCCCACTCTTTCTCCCACTCTTTCTCCCCCGCACTCAACCGCTTCCCACCCATTTCCATCCAGGTGGAGGAGGTGAAGGGGGACGACATAGTGTGCACGGTGACCAACACGGCAGAGCTGCAAGGGGACTTCTTCACTGTTCACGCTGCTCAGGTACGGCTCATCCCATGGCATGCTGAGGTATATACCATGGGGACCCAGATGCGGCTCATGCCACCCAGGTACGGCCCATGCCATGCTGCTTTGAGACGTCTCAAAACAACTCTTCTATCAGGTACAGACCATGGGGCCCAGCCCAGATACGGCCCATGCCGCCCAGGTACGCCCCATGCCATGCTGAGGTGATTCAGAAGGAGACTAGTGTGCACGGTGACCAACACGGCAGACTTCTTCACTGTTCACGCTGCTCAGGTACATGCTGAGCACAATCACTTGCATTTGATTTGTGCATTGAGGTGTATTTTGAGGCGCCTCAAAATTCTTCTCTGTTCACGCTGCTCAGGTACATGCTGAGCACAATCACTTGCATCTGATTTGTGCATTGAGGTGTATTTTGAGGCGCCTCAAAATCCATCTCTGCTCACGCTGCTCAGGTACATGCTGAGCACAATCACTTGCATCTGATTTGTGCATTGAGGTGTATTTTGAGGCGCCTCAAACTTCTTCTCTGTTCACGCTGCTCAGGTACATGCTGAGCACAATCACTTGCATCTGATTTGTGCATTGAGGTGTATTTTGAGGCGCCTCAAAATTCTTCTCTGTTCACGCTGCTCAGGTACATGCTGAGCACAATCACTTGCATCTGATTTCTGCATTGAGGTGTATTTTGAGGCGCCTCAAAATTCATCTCTGCTCACGCTGCTCAGGTACTCGCTCAACACATTCACTTGCATTTGATTTGTGCCATCACGGGTGGACACGGACGGATGGGTACACTTTCGTCCCCTTTGAGTTTTCCTTGTTCCCTTCTCCTCCACTCCATGATCCGTCCCATCACAGGTGGACACGGACATGCCTATCGTCTCCAAGGTGGGCGAGCGCCATCTGTTCCCATCAGCGCGTCTTGCTGCAAACACAAGGCCATCATTGCCCCCTCACATGCTCCTCTCCTCTGTCACTCATCCCATCACAGGTGGACACGGACATGCCTATCGTCTCCAAGGTGGGCGAGCGCCACTCTCTCCCGTACCGTACCCATTGTGTGGGGCTTGGAGTGCTGCTTGCTGCAATCACATGGCTGCCCGTTCTCATCCCTTTCCCTCACACACTCCTCTTACACACCACAGGTGGACACGGACATGCCTATCCTCTCCAAGGTGGGCGAGCGCCACCAGTCTCACCCCCTTTCACCCACTTCCACTCCCTTCCATTCCTCTCACTCCCACCCTCGCTCCTCGCCCCGTCCCATCACAGGTGGACACGGACATGCGCATTCTCTCCAAGGTGGACGAGCGCCACCACTCTCTCCCATCTCCCATTTCCCATATCCCATGCCCCATCTCCCTTCCCCTTCCTCCACCCTTCACAGGTGGACACGGACATGCCCATTCTCTCCAAGGTGGACGAGCAAGCGCCACCTTTCCAATCCCCCTCAACGCTGCTTGCTGCAAACACGTAATTGTCACTGCCCCCTCTCCTCTGTCACTCATCCCATCACAGGTGGACACGGACATGCCTATCCTCTCCAAGGTGGACGAGCGCCACCTGTCCACGTGGGGAGTGAACTGCTTGCCGCACATCATCTTCCTCTCCTTCACTCGCAACGCAGAGGACGTCAGATACGTGAGTCGATTTCATCTAACACGAGAAACCACACACATCCTGCTTGTCACACAACATGTGAGTGAGAGAATGCACAGATGCTCCCCATCCCTCTCCATCCCTCCCTATCCCTTCCCATCCATCCCTTCCCATCCCTCTCCATCCCTCCCCATCCGTCCCCATCCGTCCCCATCCATCCCCATCCCTCCCCATCCGTCCCCATCCGTCCTCATCCCTCCCTCTGCCCCCCATTCGGACCATCCTCCCCAACCCTGTCAGGGGTCACACGCAAGTACCTCTTGTCACTATGTTAGCTCATATTTCCTCCTTACTTCCCTCATCCCATCCCCATCCGGGCATCCCTCCGCATCCCCTCTCCATCCCTCTCCACCCCACTCAGGCGCGCAATCACCTCGCCCAACTGGGCAAGCTCTCGCAGTCCTTCATCTTTGCCAAGATCGAGAGCATTCAGGTGCGCCCACCTTGTGCCGCTGGTTGTTGTTCTGTTTTGATGCATTGTTTCTCGATCCAGCCAAAACTCTTCCAGAGTTGACTTGTGAGTCGACTCAAAAGTCAACTCGCCCAACTCGGCAAGCTCTCGCAGTCCTTCATTCATCTTCGCCAAGATTGAGAGCATTCAGGTGGGCTCACTCACAACAATCAGGTGAATTCCCTGCTCTGCTGGTTGTGCTGTGTTGTTAAGAGGCAACTTTTGAGAGCATTCAGGTGGGCTCACTCACAGCATTCAGGTGAGCTCACTCGCAGCATTCAGGTGCGCTCATTCGCAGCATTCAGGTGCGCCCACTCGCAGCATTCAGGTGCGCCCACCTTGTGCCGCTGGTTGTGCTGTGTTGTTGGTTGCTTGTTGAATCAGCCAAAAATCTTCCAAAGTAAAAAAGCCATGGGTCACATTTTGAAGTTGCTTGAGTGTGCACAGCACAGCACAGCACAACCAGCAGCATGTCACAACAACACAGGACAGTGCTCAACAGACTTGTGGATGTGTCCGCGCATGTACGCGCGCGCGCGCGCGCTCGTGTGTGTGTGTGTGTGTGTGTGTGTGTGTGTGTGTGTGTGTGTGTGGGTCTGTGTGGGTCTGTGTGCATTTGTGTGCGCTTGCGTGTGCGTGGTGTGTGCTCCATGTGCACACAAGCAGGGGCTGAGGAAGATAGATGAGATTCTGGCAGAGGCAGATGGGCTCGTGCTGGGGCGAGGTGATCTTGGAATCGACCTGCCTGCAGAAAAGGTATCACTCTACTACCTCTGAGAAACTACTGATGCCGCTCTCACTTCCAGACCACTGTGAAGCCGGCCATGTAGCTTAAAGCTGCAGTATACATTTGACAGTGGGGTTCAGGGTTTTGCGGTGTGCCTCACAACATCGGCCCCACCATGTACTATTTATAAACTTTTGGCACTCGCCCTGCCAAATGTATACTGCTGCTTTAACCGCTAGCACATGCAGCTCACAGCATTTCTCCTTGTCACAGACGAGGGAGACATGCTCCTCCTCTGGTTCCCGTATTTTGATTCTGGCACAACTGATCGAATCCAAGTTTCACATTTCTCTCTCTACCCAATCCAATCCGAGCATACTTTCTGATGGAGAAGGTGGCAATATAGGAGGCTAACATACCGGGCAATCCATGTGTCGACACGTGCTCATTCCTTCTCCCTCCCATCCTTCACCCCGCAAACAGGTGTTTCTGATGCAGAAGGTGGCAATCTGCAATCCATGTGACACGTGTGACGTGTCAGCACAGCACGTGTTGATTCTTTCTCTCTCCCTTCCCTCTCTCTCCCTCCCTTCATCCCGCAAACAGGTGTTTCTGATGCAGAAGGTGGCAATCTACAAGGCCAACATGGCAGGCAAACCATGTGTCATCTCGCGAGTGGTCGACACGATGACAGACACGCCCCGCCCCACCCGTGCTGAGGCCACCGACGTCGCCAACGCTGTGCTGGATGGTGGGTGGGGTGGGATGGGTTGTGAAGTGACTATATCAATCAGTGTGTGTATGAGTAGCGGCTCTACGATAGAATGAATCACATGTGATCACAGTCACACCCCGCCCCACTCGAGCTGAAGCCACCGACGTTGTGCAAAATTAGTGAATGGGTGCTGGACGGTGGGTGGTGCAGGGCTGGGTGGTTGGGTGGGTGGGTGGAAGATTGGGTGGGTGGGCAGGGGGTTGGGTGGGTGGGTTGGTGGTGGTGGTTGGGATTCATGGTCGGTGGGTGAGATTGAGTGACAGTGGGTGCGATTATGCTGGGAGCCGAGATGGCTAAGAGGGACCTTCTGTCTTCATATTGACCTCCTGTCTTCTGTCCTCGCTCCTTCCCTCTCCCTTCTTGCACTCTCCGCTTTCCCTTTCCTGCCACCCTCCTCCCTGCTTTTGCCGGTGCTTTTCTGTTTGTTTGTTTGTTCATTTTTGTGTTCTTCTGTTTATGTCTATTTATTTATTTAATTACGTGTCCTTGTCCAGGTGTGGATGCTATTATGCTGGGAGCTGAGACGCTGAGAGGGCTGTACCCTACTGAGACAGTGTCAACTGTGCGCCTCATCTGTTCCGAGGTGTGTTTCATTTCATCTTCGGAAAGGTGCGTTTCATCTGTGCAAAGAGGAGTTTCATGTGATGCAGCTCCATCGAGTTTCCCAATCATTCGTGCTTGCACACACAAGCATTCTCATGTGTGTTTGTGAATGCATTTTGAGCAAGGTGCATTCACCACGCTGACTTTTGAGTCGACTCAAAAGTCTGCATTCACCGCCACCCCACCCACAATGGCACAGCTAAATGAAACCATTCCAACCCCCCTCCCCCTCCCCCCCCCCCCACTCCCGAGCCTCTCTCATCAGTCACTCTATGCCCTCATGCATCTCCTGCCCCTGCGAGGCGGAGTGACGTGTTAGAAGTGTGGTTTTGAGACGTCTCAAAACTACACTTCTATCACGGGGCCATTATCGTGCGTGTCTGTGAATGCATTCTCGAGCAAGTTGCATACACTACCCCTCAACCATGATAGGGAAGCCCAACAAAACTATTCCATCCCCCCACCCCCCCCCCTCGAGCCTCTCACATCAACCTCTCTACACCATCATGCATATCCTGCCCCTGCCAGGCGGAGAAGGCATACAACCAGGAGCTCTACTCAAGAAGGCGGTGAAGAAAGCTGCAGCGTGGTTGGTTGTGGTTCCACCCCAACCAGGTTAAGAGAGTGCCAAAGAAACAATTGCTGCACCTGCTCTCATCTCTCTACTCTTATTTCCATGCCAGGCGGAGAAGGCGTCAAATCAGGAGCTCTATTTGAAAAAGGCAGTGAAGGAACCCGATTTGCGGTGCTACTTCCAACCCAACCAAGAGCTCTATTCCTTCCTGCGCCCCCCTGCCCCTGCCAGGCGGAGAAGGCATACAACCAGGAGCTCTATTTCAAGAAGGCGGTCAAGGAAGCTACCGACACCATGAGCGAGCTTGAAGCCATGGCCTCATCCGCGGTAGGTCTCTTATTGAATCAGCTTATATTGCGTACATGAATCGTGCAATGGTGGTTGTACTCTCTGTGTGCACCCCAAAAACCCAGGGCTAAAAAAGGCACCTACAGCACCTTCAGGCACGGAGAAGTAATATGTGGGAATGTATTCTGATGAGCTAATTCTTGTGGGAATTTACCTGGCAGGTGAAAACAGCAGAGAAGGTGCATGCAGCAGCAATTGTGGTGTTCACCTCCTCTGGAAGAATGGCCAGGTGAGTCGGCTGTAAACCTTTCCAGGTAAAGTCAACCGAACTCAGATGAAGTCAACCGAAGTCAACTGAACTGTGATTTCTTTCAAGTGTGTCACCTGCTGGTCGCCACCTGACTATCCTCCTGTCAGGTGGTCAACTCTCGTCCTCCCTCTCACCCACGGCATCCTCTCCTTTTGATGATGCTCTTGCCCAACTACGAGCCATTACACCTACTCTTACTGCCTCCTCTCCCTTTCCGAGCCGTCCGTACCAGAATGAGTAACCCCTTCTGTGCCTCCCACCCTCCCTGATTCCACCCCATGCTCGTGGCCAAGTACAATACCGTCCATGCCTGTGTTACTCACTCTGGTTCCTCCACACCTCTCCCTTCCTTCTTTCCCCCTCTCTTCCCCCCCCTCCATGCCACGCTCATGGCCAGTTACAATGCCGTGCATGCCTGTGCTCACTCTGATCCCTCCACACCTCTCTCCTCCCCCTTTCCCCCTCTCTCCCTCCCCCCTCTCCCCCTTTCCCCCTCTCTCCCTTCCCCACCTTCCCCCCTTTTCCCCTTCTCTCACTTTCCCCCTACCCCAACCCACCACACCCGCCCCTCCCTCCCCTTCTCCCACTGCTCTATCTTCCATGTCAGTCTCGTGGCCAAGTGCAAACCATTCCCCTCATCATCCCACGCCTCTCCCCTCCCCTTTCCTCCTCTTATTCCCCTCCCTTACCCCCTCTATTTCTCCTCTCTTCTTCTCCCCTACTTCCCAGGCTCGTGGCCAAGTACAAGCCAACCATGCCCGTGCTCACGCTCGTCATTTGAAGTCCTCCCCTCCCCTTACCGCCTCTTTTCCCTCCCCCCCTCCTGCCACACCCCCCCCTCCCAGGCTCGTGGCCAAGTACAAGCCAACCATGCCTGTGCTGACGCTCGTCATTCCACGCCTCTACGTTGATAAGCTCAGATGGACGGTGCAGGGCGAGGTCCCGGTGAGATTTCTCTTGTGCTCTGCGCATAGTATAGGCCTGCATAGGCGGGAGAGGTCCCGGTAAAATTTCTCTTCTGCTTTGCCTCTCTGTGCGTGGTATAGGCAAGAATTCTATGGCGCTGATGTTCCTTGAAGGCCAGCGAGAATCAAGGATACTGCATTATATTTCTCAATGGAGCAACAAAGGGAGGCATGGCATGCAATGTTCTTAGTGCTGCAGCGGTGCCACTGGTCACCTTCTTACTGGCTGCGGCTCCCCGTCCCTCCACTCCACTTCTTGCAAGACTGGAAAGAGTTTCGCACCTCTGCACCGTCCATATCTCCGCTCTTTACCCCTCCACCACTCTTCACCCCTCTGCTGCATGCTTAAGCCGCTGCATCTTGCTTCTATTCAGTTCTCTCATCTCCAGTTTTCCTGGATGAATCTTTGTCTTCAACCCTCGAACCCTCAACCTCTCCTACCCCTCCTTTCCACGGCAACAGGCTCACATGTGTTGTCTTATGCGAGGGCTCATCCCCATGATGGCTACACCCAAGACGCTGGTATGTTCACAGTATCGTATAACACAGTTGAAGGTTAATCCAGCGAAGGAAACACTTGCAACACGAAACAGTTTTGGTCAATATTGTTCAGGACCACCAGATCCAGGTTGGGATGAGGATCTTTGGGCCCTTCGCTATATGTTCATCGTCCTAGTTCTGTCCAACTCGTTATCGTGGTGTGACTTTAATGATCTTCTCAGTCTCCCCGCGTCAGTGCTCCCATGTGGTCTAATTGGTACCGAATTCTATACTCTTCATCACACAGGAGCAAAGCGACGTATCCACTAACGAGACTGTTCTTAAGGAGGCCATTCTTCAGGGCCAGCGCATCGGAGTGCTGAGGAAGCATGACAGGGTGGTGGTGGTGCAGAAACTCGGCGACTCCGTTGTGGTTCGAGTCGAAGAGGCCCTTCCTTACGTGAAATAGAAAAAAATTGCCTTCGGAAATCTGCCTTCTACATTTCCTTGGGCTCATGGCCTTTTAGATGCGGCCATAGTGTATGAAACTTGAAAATGGCTTGGGCAGAAATAGCTAGGAGGTCATTATTATTAAATGGTGTACCCGGTAGTGTACTGGTTTCCACTTCCGTTATGTTGCACGCTCTGAAGGTGGTTTGACTAGCGTTGGATGAGCTTCGGTGGTGAAAGTCAAATCTACTAGTTTGATGTATAGCAGATCAGAAACATTCAGTGTCGTGAAGTTACCCAGTTTATCGAGTGGCCTTTTGGACAAGCGTGATACGACAGCAACATCACCAGTGCGCGAGTGGTTGGTGTTGCCGTTTCTCGCTTGAGGCTCCAGCTCATAAGATCGACGGCTGTTACCGACCGGAAACATACGAGATATTTTCATACCAATATCGAATGCTTGTTTCATTAAAACTCACTGAACCGTAAATGAATCCGAAAAGTAGAGATTAGACCGCTTTCAACCGTGTAAAGCTCAGTGCTTGATGTAATGCCAGTGAAGCTTGAATGAGAGGTGCGAGTGGAGCAAATTCGATGCTGTCACTGTGGTTATCAAGCTAATTGCTAGTGTCTGCCTACCAACTGCTTCATTCTATGGCGTGTTTAGAGGTTTAGGCTATCATTTATTGGTCTCGCTCGGCTTTCTGAGTCGATCCGAAGTGCTGGATCGCGATCGGACGTGTTCGACTCGTCTCCTGCTGGCGCGCCGTGCGCTTCTCCCATTCAGTCCGCGGCTGCTCGTGTTTCCCAGACCCGAATTGTGCCGACCGACGAATGCATTAACGCAATACCGAATCTTTGGTTCCTGCAAATACCGAAAGAGCAGCTTTTCTTGGGTTTCTGCGAATAGTATCTCTCAAGCCGAACGTATTCAGTAAGCATCATGCCCGGCTGGCATAACGGGAAAAGACGATAGCATGCTCATAGTAGCGGAATAATGGTGTAGGGCCGTAGCGCGTACACACGCTCAGCCTTGGTTTCACAGATATGACACGCCGTAACCCGCCGACATGACACGGCTGGACCTTATAACATTCTAGTCTTATAAGCGTACGCAAGACTGACTGAACTTGTAACCTTCCGCAACCGTGCGCAAGACTGACTGGACGTTACAAGACTGGAAGTTTGCAGACAGGGAGAAGTATGCATGGCCGGTAATGCGTAGAAGCGGAGTTAAGACGGGATACGCAATGGACTTGGAATACCCTGTCGTGCTGCGTGAAAGGCGCGCGGAATCCTGTTGGCGCGCAGCACGCATGTTGAGCCGCCTTCTGCTGGCTGTTTGTCACGTGGCCGCCCTCATTGCAGTCACTCAAGCGGGTAATCGCACTCGTGCCCTCCCGTCTCCATGTGGCTCATTTCCGTTGTTCTGTGAGCTCCCCAGTTGGATTGTTTCAAATCAAGAATAGCATCAAAACCAGACAACATCCACGTGTGGTGCCTCTGCTTTCGCCTGGGAAATAACACCCGAGCTACCTTACCTCTCTACCCCTCAATCCATGCCTTTTTAACCACAGTGAGTGATTCTACACGTCATTAATTTCAATCCACTCGAGGGATCACGTGCAGTGCTGCATCACGTGCAGTGCAGCACACAGGGCTGCTGCTGGGCTGGCTGAGTGCGCCAGATGCTGCTGATTGAGTCGAGCCCACAGAGATGAAGTTCCACCTCTCTCCTCGCCTGGGCGGCAGAACGCAGGGCCGCTGCTCCCCTCTCTCATCCCCTCCCCAACCCCTCTCTTCCCCTTCCCAACCCTTCTCTTCCCCTCTCCACCCATTCTCTTCCCCTCTCCACCCATTCTCTTTCCCTCTCCACCCATTCTCTTTCCCTTTCCACCCATTTCTTTTCCACCCCACCCATTCTCTTTCCCTCTCCACCCATTCTCTTCCCCTTCCAAACCCACAGCAGATGTAGTGGACAACACAGGGCCGCTGCTGGGCCGAGTGGGTCAACTCCAGCAGCAGCTGCACCACCAGCTGCTGCCCTCCTCCCAAGCCTCCACCCACCCACTGCCCTCCAACCCACACGGTCCGAACCAAGCAGCAGTACGCTCAGAACGTTCTGACCAAGTCCCCCTCTCAGAGGGCTCGAATGAGCGGATTGATCCAGCAGATTGGGAGGACCAAGCCCTAGGGCGTTTGGCGGCAGGCGGATTGGGAGGTGGTGGTGGTGGGCGGAGGAGCGGGGTAGAAGAGGAGCGGAGTGCAGCAGGGATGGTGGATCATGGGGGCATTGTGCCGGAAGGGGTTGTGCCTGATGCGCTGGATAGGCGCATTCCAATGCTCATCCGGTGAGTCTGTCCGCCTCGTGTTACTCTTCCCTGGTGTGCTTGAACAAGAGGGTCTCTCTATGGTCCTGATGCCTGGCCGGGATAGGTAGCTGGTTGGATAAATGAGTAGTAGTAGCGGATTTCGGTGAGTCTGTATGCAAATGCCTGCTCCTCCATGTGCTCTTCTGCTCCTCCACACATCTGATTGACGCACAAACGCAGGCACTTCACTTGGTTTCTGCGTGTGCGCGTCTCTCTACTACCGTCCCTTGCTGCCTGTACATCTGATTTACCCTTCCAACGCTTTTCCCTCCGGCCTTCTCCCCCCACCACTTCACACCCCCATCCCCACCTGCCCCATCCTCCCCACAACCACCGCCAAGAATGAGTCGTGAGCGCCCGCAGTTGCCTGTGAAGCTGCTTGCTTCCACTCGAGATACCATGTGATTCACTTCTCCCCTTCTCCCCGCCCACCCACACCCCATTACCCACACCCTCTCCCCCAGCAAAACATCGAAATGATCTCAGAGCGCCGACAGCTGCATGTGCGTCCCGTGCCATGTGATCCAAATCCCTCTTCCTCCCGCTCCTCTCCACACACACCCACCCCCAACCACCACCGCCACGCGCACCACCACCATCACCAGAATGAGTCTTGAGCGCCTACAGTTGCATCCGATGTGCTACCACATGCCACGTGTTCTTTTCACTTCTTCGTCCAGCTCCCCATCCCCGCGCGGCTCTTCTTCCAACCACCACCATCACCAGAATGAGTCCCAAAGGTCTGCAGCTGCCCCCGGAGGTGCTTCAAAAGGCCATTCGACTCACTCACTCTCTTCTCCCTGTCGTTCGTCCCCCATCCACACCCACACACCCACACCCTCCCTCAACCACGACACCAGAATGAGTCCTGAGCATCTACAGCTGCTTCTGGAGGCGCTGCGCTTCCACATGCCATGCGACCCACTCATTTCCTTCCCCCTCCCTCTCCTTTCCACCTACACCCCCCCCTCCCCACCTCCCCCACAACGTTCACCAGAATGAGTCCTGAGCGTCTACAGCTGCCTCTGGAGGCGCTTCCACATGCCATCGACAGCAGCGAGCAAAAGAATGTCATGCTAGCATACCGAGAACGGTTTGACAAGTAAGTGGGCGCCAGGGGTTTAGGGTTGGAGGCAAGAGGGGAAGGTGGTTATTGCGGGTGCTTGCTCGTTCCATCTTGCGGCCATCAACAGCAGCAGCGAGCAGAAGAATGTGATGCTGGCGTTCCGAGAACGGTTTGACAAGTGAGAGGGTGTGGGAAGAGGGGGGGTGGGAGGGTTTGTGCTCGTGCCGTCTTCCCATCATCGACAGCAGCGAGCAGAAGAATGTGTTGCTGGCGTTCCGAGAGCGGTTCGACAAGTAAGAGAGAATGGGGGGGGGGGGGGGATGGGGAAAAGGGGTGGTGTTAGGGTGAGGGAAGAGGAGGGAAGTGGTTCGGTGGGTGCTTTCTCATTTCCACGATTTTGAGACGCCTAAAAAAGGGTTTGTTTTTAATTATTATTATTATTATTATTATTCTCAGTAATACCCTGCTGCATGGGTTCTGGGGGTGCTTGTTCGTTTCCGCTTGCTATCTTTGGCGTCTTGCAACAGAGCAACGCCATGCCGGCGCTTGTTGAGACGTGTCATCTCAAGAGTTGCAACAGAGCAACGCCATGCCGGCGCTTGTTGAGACGTGTCATCTCAAGAGTTGCAACAGAGCAACGCCATGCCGACGCTTGTTGAGACGTGTCATCTCAAGAGTTGCAACAGAGCAACGCCATGCCGGCGCTTTTTAGCGCGGCTTGACAAGTGAGGGAGCGTGTCGGGAAAAAGGGGGGTGAGGAGGGAGGGAGGAAGGGGGAAGTGGTTCGGTTTGGGGGGTGCTTGCTCATTCCAAGTTGGCATTGTTGACAGTGTTCCGAGATCTGCTTGACAAGTGAGACGGCGTGTTTTGGGTCGACTCAAAACACGGCTCGTTCCAACGTGGCACTGTTGACAGCGTTCTGAGATCTCCTTGACAAGTGAGAGGGCGTGGGGGGAAATGGGGAGAGGTGGGGGGAAGTGGCAGTGCTTGCTCGTTTCTGTTCTAAGAAAATGCTTAGCGTGAAAATACCTCCTCCCTCTTCACCTCCCCTCTGTCCTTCAGGTTCGGCGATCTGATTCGCTGCCACGGCCCTCCCTGTCCCGCCTTCCCCCCCTACAGCTCTGCCTATCCCAACGTGCACGCGTGCTGGAACCCTCTCCTCAACGCACCTCTCCTGCTGCCCGCCCGCTCACTAGATCTGAATCACTTAGTGCAAGCACACCCGCTCGCTTGTCACTTTTGAGGCGCCTCAAAATTCGCCTCTTCTGCCACCCGCCCGCCGGATCAGATCGAAGTCGCTCAATGGATGGATCACTTAGTGCAAGGCAAGCACACCACCTCAGCTGTCTCCTGACTGCCCCGAGCCCTTGAGCCTCAACTGAACACATGTCCTCTTCCTCCTGCCCTCAACTCCCCCAGGTTTGGCGATCTGATTCGCTGCCACGGTCCTCCCTGTCCCGATTTTGCCCCCTGCGGCTCTGCCTACCCCAACGTGCACGCGTGCTGGAACGAGCATCTCGACGCGCCTCTGCTGCTTCCCGCTCGCGCGCCCCTCAACTGCCCCAAGAAGGCCCACCTCAAGAATCCGCGGGTGCCGTGGCAGAACCACGACAAGACGTGCTCGCATCCGAGGGACTTCAACCCCCGAGAGCCGTCCGCCATGCAGGTGCGTGTGTTTGGGCAGGTCGCTGTCTTTAGTTATGGTGGGACAGTGAGAGCCGTGACAGGACGCCCGCGCGCCCTTCAACTCAACTGTCCCAAGAAGGCCCCCCTAAAGAAGCCGCGGGTTGCATGGCAGAACCACGACAAGACGTGCTCGCACCCGAGGGACTTCAATTCCCGAGAGCCTTCCGCCATGCAGGTGCGGCCTGCTTGAACGGTAGGTGTGAGTCTGCTTTTGAGGCGCCTCAAAAGGTGTGAGTCTGTGTTATGGTGTTGCAGAACCCCGCACGACCAGACGTGCTCGTATCCACCCCAGAGAGCCCTCCGCCATGCAGGTGCGAGTGTTTGTGCAGGTACGAGTGTTTGTGCAGGTGCGAGTGTTTGTGCAGGTGCGAGTGTTTGTGCAGGTGCGAGTGTTTGTGCAGGTGCGAGTGTTTGTGCAGGTGCGAGTGTTTGTGCAGGTGCGAGTGTTTGTGCAGGTGCGAGTGTTTGTGCAGGTGCGAGTGTTTGTGCGGATGCGAGTTTTTGTGCGGGTGCGAGTGTTTGTGCGGGTGCGAGTGTTTGTGCGGGTGCGAGTGTTTGTGCGGGTGCGAGTGTTTGTGCGGGTGCGAGTGTTTGTGCGGGTGCGAGTGTTTGTGCGGGTGCGAGTGTTTGTGCGGGTGCGAGTGTTTGTGCGGGTGCGAGTGTTTGTGCGGGTGCGAGTGTTTGTGCGGGTGCGAGTGTTTGTGCCGGTGCGAGTGTTTGTGCGGGTGCGAGTGTTTGTGCGGGTGCGAGTGTTTGTGCGGGTGCGAGTGTTTGTGCGGGTGCGAGTGTTTGTGCCGGTGCGAGTGTTTGTGCGGGTGCGAGTGTTTGTGCGGGTGCGAGTGTTTGTGCGGGTGCGAGTGTTTGTGCGGGTGCGAGTGTTTGTGCGGGTGCGAGTGTTTGTGCGGGTGCGAGTGTTTGTGCGGGTGCGAGTGTTTGTGCGGGTGCGTGCCTTGTGGGCTGCTGGGCGGGTGTGTTGTCTGTGGTGCGTCCCGAGATGACATTTGAGTCGCCTCAATGTCAGGTGCGTGTGTTTAGTTTATTTTTTAGTCGACTATAAAATGGTTACATCTGAGTCGTCTCTCAATGTCAGGTGCGTGTGTTTAGGGCAGGCGTGCTGGCCATGGTGCATTCCGAGGTACCTTTGAATCAACTCAATACAGGTGCATGTCTTTGAGCAGGTGTTTGTCCATGATGCACCCCACCCGTATGCCAATGTGGCAGCACCCCATGCCAATGTGGCAGCACCCCATGCCAATGTGGCAGGACCCCATGCCATGCCCATGTGGCAGCACCCCATGCCAATGTGGCAGGACCCCATGCCATGCCCATGTGGCAGCACCCCATGCCGATGCAGGCCCCATGCCCCAATCCTCATGCTCCATGCCCCATGCATCATGCCCGCCCGCCCAGTGCCCTGTGCCCCGTGCCCCATGCCCCATGACTCATGCCCCTGTCCCGCTCCCACGCCATGCCATGCCATGCCATGCGCCATGCCATGCGCCATGCCATGCGCCATGCTGTGCCTCATGCAGGTGTTTCGCCTGCATGACGTCATGGTGACACACAAGGGCTTTGTCTTCAACTCCACTCACCGATACGTGCACCAGGGCTGCAAGCGATTCAACCCGGTCAGTGTGAGGGTTACTGTTAGCCGGTTAAGTCAGCATGAGTCAACACAAGTCAACATGAGTCAATATGAGTCACCAAAGAAACCCCCACAAGGGCTTTGTCTTCAACGCCACCCACCGATACGTGCACGAGGGATGCGAGCGATTCAACCCGGTGAGTTACTGTGAGGAGGGCAGTGCTCCATCACCTCCTCTCCCTCCCTTCCCTCCTCCACCCTTTCCCTCCTCTTCTCCCTTCAATGCCAACCACTAGCGCTCGTGTCTAGGGGAAAAACGGGTTCAATTAGAGGCTATCCCCTCACCCTTTTCCACCCTTCTCCACCCCCCTCACCTTCTCATCGCCCTCACCCAGTACTCGTACCCTCAGCGGCAGAAGGTGCTTCGAGTCGTTGACTGGGGCTACTCGCAGGGGAGCAACTTCTACCAATTCCTAGTCAAAGCCATGCCCTCACCCTACCCCATACCTCCCTTCCTTTCGTCTCTCCCTAAACTTTCACCCAGTACTGATACCCGCAAGACCACAAAATGCGTCGCATCAAGCTGGCCTTAGTTTGGGGCTACTGACAGGGGAGCAACTTGTACCACTTCCTAGTCGAGGCTATCCCGTCCTTCCCTTCAACCCCTCCTCCCTCCTCCACCCCTTTCCTTTCCGCTCTTCTCCGCACTTCTTCACCTGTGGCCCTCTCAACTCTCTCCTCCAGTTCTCATACCCGCAGGGCAAGAAGGTGCATCGGATAAAACTGACATTTGAGTGGGGCTACCCACAAGTCGCCAGCTTCTACCACTTCTTATTGGAGGCCGTCCCTTCCTTCTTCATCGCTTCAATTCACCCTCAACCCCTCTCCACCCCTCCAACCTCTCCCTGTCCTGTCGTCTTCCTCAACCAGTATTCCTACCCTCAGGGTCAAAAGGTGCATCACACTTAACTGGCCTTTGACTGGGGCTACTGGCAGGGCACCAACTGTTTTTTGAGAATTCTCAAAAAACAGACTCATCACCCTGAATTGGCCTTTGAGTCTTTGACTGGGGCTACTCACAGGGCACCAACTTCTCCCACTTCCTTCCTCGTCGTCGAGGTCGTCTCCTACTTTTCCCGCTTCACCCTTCTCCACCCTTCTCCACCCTTCTCCACCCCTCTCCACCCCTCCCCTCCCTGTCCCCTCCCCCCCTCTCCTCCAGTTCTCCTACCCACAAGGCCAGAAGGTGCATCGCATGAAGCTGGCGTTTGACTGGGGCTACACGCAGGGCAGCAACTTCTACCACTTCTTAGTCGAGGCCATCCCCTCCTTCTTTGTCGCTGCTGCGGCACTGCCCAACCTCAGAGAAATCCCCATCATTGCAGAGCGCTTCCAGGTGCGCGCGTGTTAGTGTGGGTGGGTGTGTGAGTCTGCAAGTGCGTGGATGGGTTGAGAGAGTAGGCCATCCCTCCTTCGTCGCTGCTGCGGCACTGCCCAACCTCAGAAAAATCCCCATCATTGCAGAGTGCTTCAGGTAGGTGGATGTGTGGTGGGTGGGTGGGTGAGTCGGTGGGAGAGTGGTGGGAGGGTTGGAGGGTTGGTGGGTGGGTAGGTGGGAGGGAGGGCGTGTGGGAGGGCGGGCGGGCGTGTGGGGGGAATGTTGGGTCCTTGAGTTGGGTCGACTCCAGAACCCTCTCAGCACTCATTAGTTTACCTTCCCTCTCTCGTCATTGTGTGTGCGCAGTGCAGTGGGATTTGCACAGCAGCGCCGGATGCATGCTTGTCAGTCTCTTATAAATATCTCGTTGATAGGTTATATCCTTTTCATCCTTCCCTCTCTCTCCTCCTTGTGCACGTGCAGTGGGACCTATACGACAGCCCCAAGTGCATGATCGTCAGCCTTGATGATGCACGTTGTTGATAGGTTACATCCTTTTTATCCTTCCCTCTCCCCTCCTTGCGCACATGCAGTGGGACCTATACGACAGCATAGGCCGCATCTTCATAGGGGTGAATCGCACGGACATGAGAGCCCTGCCAGCAACCGATGGGGACCTATTCCACGTTGACACGCTCTATGTGGTGAGATGGGGAGATGGGTGCATGGGTGCATGGGTGGGTGGGTGCATGGGTGCATGGGTGGGTGGGTGCATGGGTGCATGGGTGCATGGGTGCATGGGTGCATGGGTGGGTGGGTGGATAGGTGGCTGGGTACATGTGCGAGTGGGAATGTGGGTGAGAGGCCTGCCACCAGCTGATGGGGACGTCTTTCTCGTTGACACGCTCTATGTGGTATGTGGGTGGGTGGGCACATGGGTGGGTCGGCGGGTGGGTGGGTGAGAACAGCATCGCGTGAGAACAGCATCACATGAGAACAGCATCACATGAGAACAGCATCGCGTGAGAACAGCATCACATGAGAACAGCATCACATGAGAACAGCATCACATGAGAACAGCATCACATGAGAACAGCATCACATGAGAACAGCATCACATGAGAACAGCATCACATGAGAACAGCATCACATGAGAACAGCATCACGTGAGAACAGCATCACATGAGAACAGCATCACATGAGAACAGCATCACGTGAGAACAGCATCACGTGAGAACAGCATCACATGAGAACAGCATCACATGAGAACAGCATCACGTGAGAACAGCATCACGTGAGAACAGCATCACATGAGAACAGCATCACATGAGAACAGCATCACATGAGAACAGCATCACATGAGAACAGCATCACATGAGAACAGCATCACATGAGAACAGCATCGCGTGAGAAACGCATCACGTGAGATGGAGCTGAGGCGGCACCATTTGCTGTTTCACACCCTCTCTCTCCCCTCAACCGTCCGTTGCCCGCTACCCCCTCCTCCTCCCGCCCAGCCCATGCTACAGGAGTGTGGAGCCCCCAACAAGGCCCTCTGGATGGAGTTGAGGCGGCACCATCTGCTGCACCCGCAGGGCCTGCCTCTCTTCCGCCCCGACTTCTCCTACCACTACCGCCCAGCGCTCTCCTACCAGCAACTCACCCACCTGCCCCCCGACTGGGTGGTGGTGCTGGCGCAGCGGCCCTCAGGGAAGCGCTCCTTCACCAACGCTGAGGAGGTTAAAGAAGCGGTTCTCTCGGCGTTTCCGCCGGAAAGGGTGGTAGTGTTTGACGGGTCGCTGCAGCTCATGCAAGGTGCGTTGCTTGCCCTTCATGGGGTCTGTTGTGGTCTGGTTCTGAGGTCCCTTGGGAGGCCCTCTCCTACCAGCACCTCACCCACCTCCCCCCTGACTGGGTGGTGGTGCTGGCACAGCGTCCCTCAGAATAGCGCTCCTTCACCAACTCAGAGGAGGTGAAACCGGCGGTGCTGGCTGCGTTCCCGCCGGAGAGGGTGGTAGTGTTTGACGGGTCGCTGCAGCTCATGCAAGGTGCGTTGCTTGCCCTTCATGGGGTCTGGTGTGGTCTGGTTCTGAGGTCCCTTGGGAGGCCCTCTCCTACCAGCACCTCACCCACCTCCCCCCTGACTGGGTGGTGGTGCTGGCACAGCGTCCCTCAGAATAGCGCTCCTTCACCAACTCAGAGGAGGTGAAACCGGCGGTGCTGGCTGCGTTCCCGCCGGAGAGGGTGGTAGTGTTTGACGGGTCGCTGCAGCTCATGCAAGGTGCGTTGCTTGCCCTTCATGGGGTCTGGTGTGGTCTGGTTCTGAGGTCCCTTGGGAGGCCCTCTCCTACCAGCACCTCACCCACCTCCCCCCTGACTGGGTGGTGGTGCTGGCACAGCGTCCCTCAGAATAGCGCTCCTTCACCAACTCAGAGGAGGTGAAACCGGCGGTGCTGGCTGCGTTCCCGCCGGAGAGGGTGGTAGTGTTTGACGGGTCGCTGCAGCTCATGCAAGGTGCGTTGCTTGCCCTTCATGGGGTCTGGTGTGGTCTGGTTCTGAGGTCCCTTGGGAGGCCCTCTCCTACCAGCACCTCACCCACCTCCCCCCTGACTGGGTGGTGGTGCTGGCACAGCGTCCCTCAGAATAGCGCTCCTTCACCAACTCAGAGGAGGTGAAACCGGCGGTGCTGGCTGCGTTCCCGCCGGAGAGGGTGGTAGTGTTTGACGGGTCGCTGCAGCTCATGCAAGGTGCGTTGCTTGCCCTTCATGGGGTCTGGTGTGGTCTGGTTCTGAGGTCCCTTGGGAGGCCCTCTCCTACCAGCACCTCACCCACCTCCCCCCTGACTGGGTGGTGGTGCTGGCACAGCGTCCCTCAGAATAGCGCTCCTTCACCAACTCAGAGGAGGTTAAACCGGCGGTGCTGGCTGCGTTCCCGCCGGAGAGGGTTGTAGTGTTTGACGGGTCGCTGCAGCTCATGGAAGGTGCGTTGCTTGCCCTTCATGGGGTCTGATTCTGATCTGAGGCGCCTTGGGAGATGACTGGTCTGGCTTTGAGGCTCTCTCCTACAAGCACCAACAACTCACCCACCTGCCACCTGACTGGGTGGTGATGCTGGCCCGTCGCTCCACTGTGAAGCACTCCTTCACCAACTCAGAGGAGGTTAAAGCGGCGGTTCTCGCTGCGTTTCCGCCAGAGAGGGTTGCTGTTTTCCATGGCTCGCTGCACCTCATGCAAGGTGCGTTGTGCTTTTGAGTTGAGTTGACGTGTGCTTCACTGTAGTGTGACCGACTACCAGCTTCAAAGAGGTGAGGGGGGAGACTCAACATTGACTTTTAAGCCGACTCAAATGCAAAGTTTTGCAGTTGCTGCAACCTCTTCCTGGTTCTTTTCCCTGTTCGTACTTCACTTTCTTTCTTGATGTTGCATGCATCATAACGGCTGCCCCTCCCCCCCACCCCCCTTCCCCCTCAACCCATCCATGTTGTTTTTTCTGCCGGACTTGGCTGTTTTTGAAAGGGCACGGAGCGGTACTCTTTAACCTCATCTTCCTCATCCGCCCCACTCCTCCACTCTTCACCCCCCACACTGCACCCCTTTGTCCCCATTTCCACCGCGCGAATTTGTTCCGCTGGACACGTCTCTTCTGGGAGAGCACGGGGCGGCACTCTCAAACCTCACCCCCTCCCTACTCATTCTTCCCACTTTCCCCTCTACCACACTCTTTCCTTATTCCCATAGCACGTGCTTTGTTCCGTCGGACTCGGCTTTTTGTGGGAGGGCACGGGGCGGCACTTTCCAACCTCATCTTCATGCCCGTCAGATCGCACCTCTTGGAAATTCGCCCTGACAAATGCCCCAACCGGTGTTACAATAGTCTCGCGTATGCATGCTCTATAAAGTACTATTTGCTGTTTAGCGAAGGGACGTGTGACACCACTGTCATTGCGGACATCCCTAGGTTACAAAGGACGCTTAATTCCGTTGCCAGGAATCTAAAAAAGGAGGATGTGGCTCTTGGACGAGCTTGGGAGCCAGCTTGATTAATATATAATATTGTTTCTTAATTTCATAAGTATATATTTTTGGTTAATGAGTAACAGAATTATGGTACAAACACATTGGAAGCTAAAATATTTTTCAATAGACAGCTTTCTTTAATGATTTATTCCTATCCAATGCGAATACACGTCTGCCTATTTCCACCTCATTTTTCACCACAAATGATGAACACATCACACATCTAGAATAGGATATAACATTCTCTACATAGAACAACGAACTCAACAGACCCGTTTGAGGGACAAAACTGGATATGTTTTTTCGCCAAGAAAAAATTCGCGCATCGAGTCCGCGTCGCTCCAGAAAGCATTTCCTTTCAATGTAAGCACACCCTCTCCTCTCATTCGCCCCTTTCCCCCTCCAAATCACGACAATTGCATGTAAACCCTGCAGCACACACACTTCACTGCTTGCTTGCGCTGCTCCCATGATCCCATCGCCACGTACCCCAATGCTCCAAGCAAGCTACCCATCCATCCTGCGTCTTTCGCTGCACACGCACATCCTTGCACATGGTCCTGCTCCTAACGCCGACCAAAGATATATCACACCAGGCTTACTTATCACCGACCAGTCGCTTCTCTAGACCTACTTTATCACCGACCATCCGTTAGATTAGACCTTCCTTATCACGATGTACGCTCGTGCAACTGATAGGCTGCAATGGTCCTATAAAAGCCAGAACGTATATTTTACTAGTCGGTACCAGTTCCCGTCTAACCCAAACAGAAGCTTCGAAGCTTTACCCAGGCTAATATCAGAGGCGATACGCAGTTCTCTCACTCACCCTCTCTTCCTGTCCGAGGCACCACCGCCCCTGTAAATTCTGTTAGTCGGCGACAACCACTCCAGCCGCCCTTGTGAATCCAGCAACCAGCGCGGTTGAAATTTCACCGGCGCAGGGATCATGACACGCTCCAAGCTTTTCTTCGCTCTGCTCGGGCTCTCCCTGGTCGTGTCGCTCGCGCTGGCGCCGACTTGTCGCGCGAATGAGATCTTCACGATCGAGCCGGAAGACGCCGACGACGATGACGTGGCGGACGCCTCCATTTCCGCCGACGTGTCGCCTCCTGGTGCGTGGGTCGCTATGTCTCGCTCGGTGGCGCCGCCATGCGCCTTCGCCCTGTTTTTCCTCGCTGTTACGAATTTGGGGCGTGAATATTGGCGCAAACAGAAGGCTCCTGTGATTCCTGTAGTGTTAATTTTTTGTTTTTATCTTGCTTCTTTCCACCCCGTTTCCAGATCTGATGGGCAAGCTCTTCGGCGCGAGCAGGCGGTTCCTTTGGTCGCCTGAGACGCGCCGCGAGCTGTCGTGCAAGTCGGACTGCGAGGCGAAGAACAAGGAGTGCAACGAGGAGTACAGCGAGTGCAAGCGCGAGAACAAGGACGACGAGCACAAGCACCACAAGTGCACGCACACGTACAAAAAGTGCAAGAGAAAAGCCAAGAAGTGCCGCTCCAAGTGCGATTAGAGGACGGGCAATGCAGGTGTGAGAACGGGGTACTGTGCTCGAGTGGGCCACTGCGCATCATACAGTATTTGGTAGGAGGAAAGTCCGCAATCTTCAAATATTTTGACAGAATATCAAGCACGCTAGGTATAGGAATGCTACCGTGTTTTTGCCCTACCGTAATAATCTTGCGATGCGGACGAGAAACAAAAATGTGCTCATAAGGAAAGGGTAACATATTGTGAATTTCAGATATGGTAGCTGGCACAAGTTGGCAACTACCGATACAACATAAGAAAAACACCTTTGCATGAAAACTGAAGGGTGCATTCCACGCTGGACACTGTCTCAAACAAAGTGTCCCAATTGAGTGTACCGCTCCAAACCGAACTAAACCAGAGACGCGAAAATTTCGACAATGTTTGAAACTAGGGTGTAATTTGGTGTAATACGATGCAGTGCGGTAGAATCGATTCAGACACTTTCGATTGGGACATGTCCAGAGCGGAATGCACCCTAAAGTTGAACTGAAGCAAGGATGTACACGTCATAAAGATATTCAGCCCTCAAGCAGATGACAGCCCTTCATTTGTGGGCTGCAGGCTGCAACTATATGAAGTGTCTACACTCACCCACACGAGGATTTGCATTCCTAACAACGACCAAGGTTTTTTAATGTGTACAAACACCAGAAAAAACATGCAGCAAAGCCTGATGGCTGAAGGTCCCTCGTGCCTCGTCAGGGCTTGAGAGCAGCAGGGCTCGAGAGCAGCCCATTCTATGCGCAGCTCTCCGAAAACATATCTGCCCAGACCTGAAACTCAACACTTGACCAAACCCTGAAATAGCTTCATATAATGTGCAGCCTGTCCTCGCATTATGCCCCACCCTTCACTTCACACTTCACCCCTGAACGCAGCTGCATCTCTACTGCAGCCCCCTTGCCCCTGCTGCACCTTCACAGCCTCCCTGTGCTGTGCCTGCTGCCCAGAGCCCACTCTCTGCTGCTCCCTTCACTTCCAATCAAGGCCATGTTAGTAACCCACACTTGGCTTCACCTGCACTTTTTGAAGTGCCAGAAAATCAGCCTGCCGCCTCGCTGTGCCTGCACCACACACAATGCTGCATCCTTCACTTCCATTGAGATTGGTGCCAGTCGCCCACTATAGGTTTCGCCTGCCGCTTTTCTTTCGGCGCCTCAAAAATAACCCACTGCCTCCCTGCGCCTGCAGCCCACACTCTGGTGGCCCCACTCTGCTGCACCGCTCACTTCCACTTGAGGTCGTGCCAGTCGCCCACACTCGGCTTGGTCTGCCTCGCCTCCCCCTGCCCGCACTCCACCTTGATCTGAAACCCCAGCTGCCCCAACACCACATCCAACACTGTATCCCCATGCACATGCCCTGGCCCTGCTGCTGCTGCTGCCAGTGCTGCTCCTGCTGCTGCTGCTGCTGCCAGTGCTGCTCCTGCTGCTGTGCCTGCACCTGCTATTGCTGCCGCTGTTGCAGCAGCCGCAGAAGCAACAGCAGCGGCAGGACCATCACCAGCACCACCAGCAGCACCAGCAGCAGCAGCAGCAGCAGCAGCAGCAGCAGCAGCAGCAGCAGCAGCAGCAGCACCAGCACCAGCAGCACCAGCAGCACCAGCAGCACCAGCAGCACCACCAGCATCAGCAACACCACCAGCAGCACCAGCAGCACCAGCAGCACCACCAGCATCAGCGCCACCAGCAGCTGCTCCTCCTCCTGCCACTACACCGCCCATCCCTGCCTGGAACACATTCATCTGCCCTACATTGCCACCCCCTTCCCGGAACCCATTAATCTGCCCATCCCTTATCCCTGCAACACCAACCACCTGCCTCTGCCACTGCTCCACCACACCCCCTCCTGCCGCTCCGTCTGGAGCCACAGCACCAGCACCACCAGCAGCAGCGGCGGCAGTGCCAGCAGCAGTGCCAGCAGCAGTGCCAGCAGCAGTGCCAGCAGCACCAGCAATGGCGGCACCCGCAAAATCAGGCCCGGCACGCAGCTCACCCGCACCTGGCGCAGCGGCTCGGCCGGGGGTCATGGCTCGGTACGCCAGAACCATGCGCCTCGTCTCCTCTACCACCTCCGCATGGCCTTGTGGGCCCCATTGCTCTTGCGTGGGACCCACAGGCAGGAATCTTCCTGCTGCAGCATCCGCAGCAGCAGCAATACCAGCAGCACCTGCAGCACCGGCAGCACCGGCAACAGTAGCATTAGCGGCATGGCCTTGTGGGCCCCATTGCTCTTGCGTGGGACCCACAGGCAGGAATCTTCCTGCTGCAGCATCCACAGCAGCAGCAGCAATACCAGCAGCAGCCGCCGGACCCACAGCACCGTAAGCACCCGGAGCACCGTTAGCACCCGGAGCACCGTAAGCACCCGGAGCACCGTAAGCACCCGCAGCAGCGGCAGCATCGGCAGCACCTGTACCAGCAGCATTAGGTACAGCTGGTTGGGTTTGTTCAAATCCGATTTCTCTCTCTGCCACTCCCTGCCCCAGCTCCATAGGCCCAGCACCTACCTCCACTACCTCCCCTGCTGCTCCCACTGCCCCTGGCGCCTCTCCTGTCCCTGCTTCTTGTTGCAAGCCAGCATCTGCAGGCACTGCTGCTACTGCTGTGCCGTCTGCCACTGCTGCTGTTTCCACAGCCGCCTCGCCTACAGCTGGTGCCACTACAGCACCTGCTTCTTGTGCTGCAACAGCTGCACCCCGTGCTGCTGCTTCTTGGGCCGTCGCTGCTAGCATAGCAGCTGCCAGTGCTGCTCTCTGCTCTCTCTGTGCAGCAACAGCAGCCGCAGCAAGACCCGCAGCAGCATCTGGTGGTGCCGGTGCCGGTGCCGCCGCCGCTGCTGCCGCAGCCGCTGCTGCTGCTGCTGCCCCTGCTGCTTCTCCTGCTGCTGCCCCTGCTCCAGCCCCTGCTGCTTCCCCTGCTGCCGCCCCTGCTGCTCCTGCCGCCCCTGCTTGGGTGGCGGCACCATTTGGATGGGCGGCGGCGCCATCCGGTTGGGCGGCGGGGTCGACGTAGCGAGCGCGGGAGGTGACGGTGACGATGCAGTCGACTGCCAAGTTGGTGTGCGTGAGGGTGCCTGGCAAGGCAAAGTGGCGTTGGAAAGTAGCATATACCGTCCTGAGAGGGACATGAGACATGGAGAGACAGAGTCAAAGGGAGATAGAGGGTCAGTGGGGCAGGGAGGTGACAGTGACGATGCAAATGACTGCAACGTTTGTGTGGGTGAGGGTGCCTGGAAGGGCGACGTGACCCTGAAAGGTGGCGTATACCGTGCTGCAAAGAGGGGGAGGGATGCGGGAGAGAATGGACAAGGGGATTAGCAAGGGAGTGTGGTTGGTTGGTGTGAGTGAGGGTGCCTGGCAGGGCGTAGTGGCGTTGAGACGTGGCATATGCCGTCCTGAGAGGGACAGGGAGACATTCGAGAGAGATATGCAGCACGGTATACGCCACCTTTCAGCACGGACAAGGGCAGTGAGAGACGTGGCATGTGCCGTCCTGAGGGAGACATTTGAGAGAGATAGGGAAACAGTGGGGCAGGGAGGTGAGAGTGGCGATGCAGTCGACTGCCTCGTTGTGTGCGCGAGGGCTCCTGGCAGGGCGAAGCGAAATGGCGCTGAAACGTGGCGAAAACCGTCCTGGTGAGAGGGAGCGGAACGGAGAGATTGGACAGGGAAACTAGGTGGGGAAAATTGGAGGAATCATGAGAGGAAGATAGCGAGACAGTGAGGGCGAGAGGTGACGGTGACAAAACAGTCGACTGCCACGTTGGTGTGCGCGAGTGAGGGCTCCTGGCAGGACGTAGTGACGCTGGAAGGTGGCGTACACAGTGCTGCAGGGAGGAGGATGGGAAGGGGAATTTGGATTGGAAAAGATAAGCGGGAGGGATGGTTGGTGTGCACGAGGGCGCCTGGCAGGGCGAAGTGGCGCTGGAATGGAAGGTGGTATACACAGTGCTGCAGAGGAAGACATGGGAGAGGGGGATGCGACGGGGGGATAGGTGGGGGGTATTAGAAAGGGGAGAACTGGAAGGCGCTGGAAACGAGAGAGGGGGCTCGAGCTTACGGAAGGGGGAGGGTGTGGCATAGGAAGGGGGAAATGGAAGGGGGGATGAGAGGGGGAAAAGAGAAGGGGAGAAGAGTAGTTGGAGATAAGAAAAGATGATAAGCAGAGATGACGAACAGAAAACAACAAGTGGCTGGGCGACCCGCTTCACTTCCACAAGCTGTACGATCTGTATGAGGAATCGTTCTTGCCGCAAATACTTGGCGTTCCTGTCGCCCCTGACGCTGATCCGCTCTTCGAAGCAATCCCGGCGGTGATCTGGCTTCCGGATGTCCAGGAGCCTCTGCTGATCAACATCTCCACCCAATCGTGCGCCGACTGTCCCAATAGCCACCGCACCCGTATTCACGGCTGCTTCACCGCTGTCAGGAAGAACAATCTCGCCAATCCTTTCACTATCACGGTCGGACAACTCCAGCACGTCAACGGTCCCTTTTTCCATGGTTTCCCACGCCCTTGTTGAATCCGGAGTCACTTCATTTGCTAAGATCTGCTGTTTTTACCTATCCGTGGTTGCTCCTGGCCCACTACTTTGTTCTCAGCTATAACCTTCAAGCAGCTAGCATCGTGTTCTCAGGTCCTAAGTATTCCTTGTGAGCCCCTTTTCATTTTCTGAGCAGCTCTAATCACGGGTGCGGTGGTTACTGAGACACATGGCGCACGAATGGGTGGAGATGTTGATCAGCAGAGGCTCATGGACATCCGGAAGCCAGATCACTGCCGGGATTAAATCGAAGAGCGGTTCGCGTCAGGGACGATAGGAACGTCAAGCATCTGCGACAAAAGCGATTCCTCATACGAGTCGTACAACTTGTGGAAGTGAAGCAGGTCGCCCAGCCACTTATCACCTCGCTCAGTGCGGCAGTTACGAGAATCAGTAAAGCAGTGAAGCAGGATGGCCCCCCCAAGCAGTACTCGGTGTGGTAGGAATCATCAAACGGGCGTTCAAGGCTATCCCAAAGGAGTGGTGGGCCCCCCTCGACTCATTCTCCTCCATAGACGACTACCCCGCGGTGAACGACTGGGCGCTGAAATCTGCTGGGATCCACCAGCCACAGAAGATTCTCCGAGTCACCCTTCTTTGTCCTGATCGGCGTGTGCTTCGCCATTTCTAGGATAGAGCAGAGTAGGAAGGTGTTACCACCTGCGCGCGGAAGTTGTATTGAGGGCAAACACGGAAATCCTCCCGGTTCACGTGGATGGAGTCAGGATCGCCGGTTCATTCTCCGCAGGCCCAACTCTGGCTTCTTCGACTGCGGACATGCCCCTCCTTTGGTGACCGTCCTCAATTTCGCCTTCCGGCATTTCCACACTCAAGTCGAATCCGCCGCACCCGTGATCACTTCAATCAGAGCAAGGGAGGGGCGGAAGCAAGCAGTACTCTACCCGCCAATGGTGCTGTGCTCTGCGGTGGTCGCATTCAGCAGCATAGCAAAGCGATTTTTGCGAGCTGAGAGGTGGCATGCATGCCCGAGAAACGGTGATAAGCAAGAGTGGGGAAGCAAGCACCCTAGCCGCCAATGGTGCTGTGCTGTGCTGTGCTGTGCTGTGCTGTGCTGTGCTGTGCTGTGCTGTGCTGTGCTGTGCTGTGCAGTGGCAGCGCTGAGCAGCACAGCAAAGCACAGAAAAGCTGTCGTTGCGACCCTGAAGCACCAAACACGACACCTGCAGCTGCTTATTGAGTAAATTGAAGGCACCCGAAGGGGAACGAGGCAGTACCCTACCCGCCAATGATGCTGCTCTGTGCGGTGGCAGCGTTGGGCAATGGGCAGCACAGAAAAGCTGTCGTTGCGACCCTGAAGCGCCACACACGACACCTGCAGCTCCGTGGCTGCCCGAACTCAAAAGTCACTTGGAGGGGAAGGAGGCAGTACCCTACCCGCCAATGATGCTGCTCTGTGCGGTGGCAGCGTGGAGCAGCACAGCAAAGCACAGCAAGGCACAGTAAAGGCACGACTCAAAACAAGAGCGGGGCAGGAGGAAGAAAGCAAGTACCCTACCCGCCAATGATGCTGTTCTGTGAGGTGGCAGCGCTGAGCAGCACAGCAAAGCGGTCACCACCCGCCATTGGACCCTTCAGCACCACACACAACACCTGCATCTGACTTTTGAGTCACTCAACTCAAAAGTCACTTGGAGGGGAGGGAAGCACGAACCCTACCCGCCAATGATGCTGTTCTGTGAGGTGGCAGCGTTGAGCAGCACAGCAAAGCAGTCGTCGCGCCCCCTGAGCGCCAGACACGACACCTGCAGCTCCCTCGCTGCGCGCTCCAACGCCCGCCTGCTCAGCCCAGGCTTGCCGTCCACCAGCACTGCGCCCACCTGCGAATCAAAAGTCGTTTGGATTGGATGTGGGAAAAGAGAATAGGAAAAGGCCCCTTAAGACCAGTCACGAGTCTGCTCGGCCCTGGCTTGCCGTCCACCAGCACTGCGCCCACCTGCATGGTGTGTTTGGAAGGGGGGAAGAAAGCAGGCCTGGCATGGCAGCTCAGCCAACTCACATCACATCCACGCCTGGCAGCCTGACAACGAATGCCTCGGGCTGCTGCAGGTGCTCCAGGTCACTGGCCCGCTCATGGGATGGGACCCAAGGGCTGGAGTCTAAACTAAATCAGGCCTACTCACATCACATCCACGTCTGGCAGCCTGAAGACGCACGACTCTGACTGCTGCAGTGCAGAGCACATGCTCCAGGTCGGTCGTTCGCACGGATGATGCGAGAAAAGGAAATCAATCAACCCAATCCGCTCAACTCAACTGCTCCGTATCCCCAAAACCAGCTGTGCTATTTCACCCACATCCACGTTTGGCAGCCTGAAGGCGAATGATTCCGGCTCCTGCAGGTGCTTCAGGTAGTTGGGTTGGGCACACTGATGCACCCCACCCAAGGGAAGATCGATCACATGGCTCAACTGCTCCATAGCCCTAACAACCTGCTCTGAAGTTCCACTCCCACCCATGTCTGGCAGCCCAGCCGGACCACGAACGATTCCGGCTGCTGCAGATGCTCCAGGTCGCTCGGCACACTCATGCGACGCGAGAAGAACAAATGCGAGCCCCAACCAAAAGCAGACTTGCATTCCAACTGAGTCAGCCCATGCTACTCACATTGATGTCTGGCAGCCTGAAGGCGAACGAGTCGGGCTGCTGCAGGTGCTCCAGGTCACTCGCCCCGTTGATGCGACGCGCGAAGATGGGCGAACCACGGTACGACACGTCAACAAGGAAGATGACGTCAGACACAAACTCGTCCACGTGGCCTGCTGGAATGGTGGACTGGACCTCCCCACAGGGCGTGTGGAGCAAACGGCAGAACCTGGGAGGTTTGGTGGGTTGGAGAGGTTTGGTGGGGTGGAGAGGAGGAGTGCATGCGGATGCGGTGCAGGAAGGGAAAATGCGAAGGTATTATGACAGGTGTGATGAAAGAGAGGTTTGCTTGCTCTATGCACATGAACACGGCATTCAAAGAGAGGTGGGTGGGGTACGGTATGGTGGGGAATAAAACGTGAACGCCTTTTCAGCCCTTGTAATGTCACCAACCACCACTCCCTCCCTCGTACTCTCACCTCTTGTAACCACCGCTCGCTCGTATTCTGGCTTCAAGGTCTGGAGCGTTGAGGCTGGGCCAATGCACGATGCACACCAGATGCCACAGCATCTCGTCCTCACACGCCTGGCGGGGGGAGAGAGAGAGAGCACACAATGTGGCGCAACACACGCACACAGCAAAGAACACACAGAACGGACACGCGACACATTTTTGAAAAGTAGAAAAAGTGACGCATAGCACAGCACATCAAAACACATGTTAGGAGCGAAAAGCGGACGCTCAGGGCACGAATTCACCAATAAAGGAGTCCTATAGCGTTAACAAGACATGAGCGTTCAGGCCATAGCACAAGGCATGAGCATGACCGTGTGCATGCACGCGCGCACTCATGTTTGTGTGTGTGAAGGAAAAAAGGAATGTGGCAATGCGTGCATGAAAGCGAGTGTGCGTGCGTGCATGTGGGCATGCATGCATGCGTGCGTGCGTGCGTGTATGCTTAAGTGCGCACCTAGGAAAATCGGAAAAAAAAAAATGCGACTTGCAACGCCACGAAAGTGCCTCACATGGCAGATGGCATGGTAGAGACACGCCAGGCCAGGGTAACCTTAACCTTCTTCCTCCCCCACGTTCCCTTCCTCCTCCTCCCTCTCCCCTCCCCCTCTCTCCCACCACTTGCTATTCCCCCTTCCCCCCTTCTTCCCCCCACCCATCCCCCCCCTCTCTTCTCCTCCTCCCCATCCTTCTCCCTGACGACAACCCTAAGAGGAGCGTCTTACATGGCGGAAGGAGCGGCAGAGGCAGGCGAGCGTGGCAAGCCCGCGGGGGGAGAGGCGGCCGCTCTGCAGCAGCAGATACACCACCGTGTGCTCCGTGCCGCACGCCACCTCCTCCTCCTCCCACCGCACCCGCTTCGCCGCGCCGCCGCTCCCCTGCGCCTCCCCTCTCGCCGCCGCTGCTGACGCCGTCCAGAGGCCCGGGCGACCTGAGAACACCGAGGGGGAGGCAACGTGGAAGGCCTTTGAGACGACTCACAAGCCTGGACGGACGGCACCGTTCCTTCTGGGAACGAACGCCCCTCTCGCCACCGCTCTTGACGCCGTCCAGAGGCCCCGACGACCTGACGGAACCGAGGGGAGGCTAAGGGAAGCTTTAAGAAAATGGAAGCGAGAGCGGGATGAATGAGGTAACCCAACCTACGCGTACAATATTTGGGGAAAATGGCCGATATTTTATTTTCGTTCCACCTATGTACGCGTTCCCTTCTCGTCGTCGCTACCGACGCTGCCCAGAGGCCCGGGCCACCTGACGGCGTCGTGCAGGAGTCGTGGGAAACACGTGAAAACAACTGGAAACGCGTAACGAAAACGCGGAACGAAGCCGAAACGACGTCGGGGGCAAGTATTTCTCCTTCGCAACGCTAATCTCTGGACAATATTGACGACCGACGATACCCCAGTGACTTTTGAGCTGACTCAAGGGTCATCACCTGGTACGTCTCCTTCGCAACGCTACTCTCTGGACAATAGTGACGACCGAAGAATGCTATCGCAAAGCCTTAGAGTTCCTTCTGCCCGCGGAGTTACTCCTTCGAACGAATCCCGCATTTCGCTATTTTCCGGCGAGAAGTAGTGACGCACCATTGCGACCAGAAGAAACGGCCACGGATCTGACGAAGACACGTCAGCGAGCTATCCGTTGGGAACGCGAATAGCTCGAACGGTAACTCGACGTAGGGTGACTCTGCAGTATCCGAAGTCCGAACTTGGGAACGACCATAACCGCCAGTATCATCGTAGGTCAAAGCCGGAACTACCCTGCAGAAGCTGGCACAAGCACGACTTTACCCTAGCAATCAAGCACTAACCTGCACTAGCAGTCACATCACCCGACCTTCCAGTCACTTTCGCAATCCCTAATCTGCAGAAACCGTCCTAACCCTAACCTGCAGTAGCGCTGGTGACGTGGCCGATTAGTCGCCGCACCAGCTGCCACATGTCGGCTGCGCAGAGGAGGACGGGGTGAAAGAGCGACAGGAAAATGGTGATCGGGGACGCCAGCCAGATCCAACGGCTAGGAGCGAACGGAGCAGGAGGAGCGGCGTTCGGAGAAGGAACGGCTGTGAGAGTCGCCGGCGCAGCTGCGAAAGCAGACGGATTTGCGCGACGCGTGATGCTCGCTTCTACGGTCGTGGCGCGAGGAACAGTGTCAGAAACCGGCTCTGGCGCTTCGGCTACCGGTCTGGGAAACGAAGGCGCTGCGATATCGGCGACGGCACCGTCAACGGCTGAGATGCGAGGGATTATCTGCGACGCAGTCGCTGACTCTTCGGCGACGACGCCGGGCGACGACGGAGTCGGCAGTTGTGCTACGTCACCGTCAGACGACGCGGTTCGAGGAAAGATCTCGGGTACAGGCGACGCGGTGCGAGGGGGAATATCGGTAAGAGGCCCTGACTCTTCGCCGCACGGTACGGCTGGAGCTGACGTGGAAGCAGACGGAGCCGTGGGATAAGTATCGATAGTACTAGTGGCGACAGCAGAGGTCACGTCAGTGATAGTGGTCTCATGAGCAAAAGGGGTGGCGACAGCGAGAGAAGCAGCAGAAGCAGCAGCAGCAGCAGCAGCAGCAGCAGCAGCAGCAGACGAGGATGCAGTAGGAGGTGGGGGAGTGGGAGTGAGACTGCAGGAGGCTGCGTGGAGAGGCGTTGCGTCGGTTAGGTGCATCCGAGCATGGAGAGACAGCGCGATCCACGGACCGCACCTACCGAGTTGACCTAAAAGTTTTCTCAAGGCTCTTTTCACATAGCAAGACTCGAAGCGAGGGAATTTCGCAGCTTGCGTCTCGTCATAGTATGCTGAGAAAAAGGATGGTCAACTCGTAGCAGCACATAAGCCGGCTTATATTATCCTAGTCGTAAGGGTCATTGGGTAGCCATGAACTGAACCGGCGCGGAGCAAACCCGAGCCTAAGAACCAACGGCGTGATGCGATGGGAACACCTCCAGTCTAGGTCGAGCAGGGACACAGAAAAAGCCACTGAACAGGCGTGAATGGAACACCATACAACCATACCACCATGGAAGTAGCTCCACTCTGCTCGTGGCACGGGCACCAGCACCAAGGTTGATGGGAACAGGCAGATTCTAGAAAAGGATGAGGTGGAAGGGGTGGGAAAGCAAGCTTGAGGGCGTACACTTTCAAAAGAATCTACACACAATTCAGCTAATTCCGTTCTAACTTCATTAATTTGAAACGAGAGAATTGCGCTATACGTTACAGACGAGCAAGTCGATGTCGCAACATTAGGGTGGTTGGTCGTATACTGAATACGTTCGGCGGTCGTCACTTTCTCGACGGGTTACCAGGAAAACTCGGACTACGCAACGTTGATTGCAGTGCGCGGTGCGCTGTATGCTACGAGCCAGTCCGGCACAGACGGAAGGTGACAGAATGAGCTGTGAATGAGCTGTGAGAGCCGTTAGCGGTGATCTTTGAAGTGACAGATGACGGAGTTTGACGGATTCCATCCGAGAAAGGAGATGCGTCTGCCACATGTATTGTAGTTGGTTTGGGTAGTTTGCTGGGCGGCTTGGTCCAACCGAACCAATTGTTTCTGACCATGTCAACGCCATGGTAGGGAAGTTTGGTTGGTTAGGGACACACCACGAATCCCGAAGGCAAGAGGTAAGGCGCCTCGGCAGGTGGGCTGGAAATCGGGCCTCCATCTGACCACGAGTCCCCAAACCTGGTTTGGTTTGCCGCGGGAAGCCTCGGAGAGCCCAACACCGTACTCAACCCTTTGTTACGCATAAGAAACATATCAATGGCCTAATGAACATGGAAATATTAATAAAAGAGCTATCGTCATAATAATTAGGAAAACATTTATAATGGGTTTGATGGTGCATAGAGCTATTTCTATGGACAGGATATGGAGCGGCGCTAGACACATCAACTCGAAGACTATTGCTGCGTAGCAGCAACTTCGTTTCTAAGCGTTTCTAGTTCCAAGACAAGCTTCATCATGGAGGGGCGGGAGGCGAGCGACATGGTGGTGCAGGAGAGGGCGAGGTGGAGCAGGCGCAGCGCTGCGGGTTGAGGCATGGCCAGGCGTGGATCGATCACATCCAGGAGATCCGTGCTTGCGGGCAGCTCTGGTGGTGGCTGGAGGTGCAGGGAGGGAGGGATGCGAGGCAGGGAGGGAGGAGTGGGAGGCAGGGAGTGAGAGTGGAAGATCATACTTCACAGGCCTATGCATTAGGGAAGTTGAAGACTTGTGGGTAGTGGTGTGTGGAGGAGGAAGGGACATGGAAGGAATGTGTATGCTTGTGTGCGTGCGTATCCGTGTGAGTGCACGGATTTATTTACGAGAAAGAGGGGGAGGAGGATGAGGGGGAAGAACGAAGGAGGAGGAGGAGGAGCAGGAAGATACATGCCATTCAATGGAATGGCATATGAAGAGCGACAAAAAGAGCAGTGATTTTGTCAAAGTAGAGGGGGAATAGGAGGCAGAGGAAACGCAGAGGCATAAGAGGCAGAGGGAGAGGGGGAATAGGGATTGGAGGCAGCAGAAGAAGAGGTAGTGGAGCAGAAGAAGAGGGAGCGGAGCAGAAGAAGAGGGAGCGGAGCAGAAGAAGAGGGAGCGGAGCAGAAGAAGAGGGAGCGGAGCAGAAGAAGAGGGAGCGGAGCGTACATCTATTGGAAGAATAGCAGTGGGATCGTCCAGCTTTGCATTGTGAGCATCTGGGTGCAGCTGCTGGGACACCTGCATGGATGGATGGAGAGCGGTTGTGCACGGTGTGAAGGGGTGGAGAAGGTTGAGTCCTGGTGGAACAGTGCATCAAGACGAGGGAGAGGGCCCGGTGGGGAAAGCAGGCAAGCTGCCTTGATGGGGAAGCTGAGTATAGATGGGGAAGAAGAGCATGAATGCATGTACTGGAGTAAAAGTGGTAAAAGGAGTAATGTTGGAGCTGCTTTTGAGAATCTCCTTCGAGAATTTTCGGGGTTGCTTTGGAGATTCGTTTGAACATTCTCCGGGTTGCGTTGGAGAATTCTCAGAGTTGCTCCATGAGAGCGTGCACCGGAGTGAAAGTGGTGCAAGAGGCAGGCAGCCCACCCAGTCTCGGAGGTGAACGGGGCGGTTGTTGACAGGAAAGACGGCCTTCTTGCTCGTGAGGAGCTCGAGAATCAAAATGCCAAAGCTGCGTGGGCCATGGAAGCAAGGGTGTGGGAAGAAAAAGGTGCGTGGGAAGAGGCAAGGGCATGGGGAGGAGGCAGGGGTATGGGGGGGAGGGGGCAAAAATATGAGACGAGGCAAGGGCATGGGGTTAAGGCAATAGAATGGGATGACTACGAGCGTATGAAGGGTCAAAGGCATGGCAAATGGGGACCTTGCGGGTCTGAGCATAGATGGGATGTACATAGCCCGGTGTGCCCGTGCAATCCCATAGGCCGGTATACCCGGCCTGCACTGCCCTGCACCGCATTTCCTGCACTGCACCGCACTGCATCTGTCTATACCTGTACACATCAGATGCGGAGGTGGCCTCGCGGGTCTGAGCGTAATTGGGGTCCGCATAGCCCGGTGTGCCCGCCCATCACTCCCATGCACTCCCTTACAGGACATTACCCAGCTTGCACTGCACCGCGCCGTCCTGCACCGTAATTCACTGCACTGCATTGCCCTGCACCGCACTGAACCACTCTGTACCTGTACACATCAGCTGCAGTGGTGGCCTTGCGGGTCTGAGCATAAGTGGGGTCCACATAGCCTGGTGTGCCCATCACCCGCGTTGACTTCACCGTGCTGCTCTCACTCATCCGCAGCAGCCCAAAGTCTGACAGCTTCGCCTGCCACGAAGAGGAAGGGTATGACATGGACATTGGAGAGGCGTTGATTTTCGTGTGCTCCTGCTGACTTGCGTTGACTTGACTGAGTACTCCCAAACGGTCCTTTGTAATACATCAGCCATGGTTAAGATGTCTTGAAGGGCACACATCAGCCATTTGCCAATGGGCAAAGCCAGAGGCGGGTAGCTACAAGGTAGCTACAACCTTCAAAAGAGTGTTCTCTATCCCCTACAACCCTCCTCCCCCTCCCTCTACACTGCTCGACTTTTGAGGTGCCTCAAACCATTGACTTTTGAGTTGACTCAAAGGTCACCTCTTTTGAGGCGCCTCAAACCATTTGAGACGAGCTCTGAAGCCTTGTAGAAAAAAACAAAGCAGCTCCCACCCACCTGCATGCTCTTGTCCAGTAGCATGTTCCCCCGATTGATGTCTGGAATCGTACCCATGGCCTTATCTCTTAAAAAGGACCGTTTAAGAACACCCATAGCCTTAAACATCAGCCTTAAACAATTTGAGACGACTCATGAGCTGCCTTACAATTCGAAACGACTTCTGAGATGCCATAAAAAGCTGAGACGGCTTTTGAGGCGCTTTGAACTATTTGAGACGACTTTTGAGGCGCCTTAAACAATTTGAGACGACTTCTGAGATGCCATAAAAAAGCTGAGACGAATTTTGAGGTGCCTTGAACTATTTGAGACGACTTTTGAGGCGCCTTAAACAATTTGAGACGACTTTTGAGGCGCCTTAAACAATTTGAGACGACTTCTGAGATGCCATAAAAAAGCTGAGACGACTTTTGAGGCGCCTTAAACAATTTGAGACGACTTCTGAGATGCCATAAACAATCTGAAACGACTTTTGAGGCCCCTTAAACAATTTGAGACGACTTTTGAGGCGCCTTCAACAATTTGAGACGATTTTTGACGTGCCTTAAACAATTTGAGACGACTTTTGAGGCGCCTTGAAAGGCACCTCGGCTCCCACCCTTGGCACCCATGCAGGTGCATGTTCTTATCCAGCAGAATGTTTCCCAGCTTGATGTCTCGGTGCACGATGGTGAACCCATGCAGGTAAGTTTTGAGTCGCCTCAGTGGACCCCACGTGCATGCATGCTGTCAGCAGCACCCCCCACCTCCCACCTGCATGCTCTTATCCAGCAGGATGTTCCCCGGCTTGATGTCTCGATGCACGATGTCGAAGCCATGCAGGTACGCCAGCCCCTGTGCCACTGATAGCAGCGTGTCCAGCAGCTGAGCCGCTGTCAGGTGCTTGCCGTCTGATGGTGGTGGGCAGGAGGAAGAGCAAGGATGATTACTCCAGGCACCCTCGGAAGTGGTGCTGTCTGTAAGCAGGGCGATTTGCTCCACCAGACGATTTTCGAGGCGCCTCACAAGTGGTGTCTGTAAGCAGGGGACGAGTTTGAGAATTCTCAAAATTCACCTCAACAAAAGTGTCTGTACGCAGGTTGAATGGTTGAATTCCCTCCCTCCCTCCCTCCCTCCCTCCCTCCCTCCCTCCCTCCCTCCCTCCCTCCCTCCCTCCCTCCCTCCCTCCCTCCCTCCCTCCCTCCCTCCATCCCTCCACGCCTCCACGCATCCACGCATCCACGCATCCACGCATCCACGCATCCACGCATCCACGCACGCATCCACGCACGCATCCACGCACGCATCCATCCATCCATCCATCCATCCATCCATCCATCCATCCATCCATCCATCCATCCATCCATCCATCCATCCATCCATCCATCCATCCATCCATCCATCCATCCATCCATCCATCCATCCATCCATCCATCCATCCATCCATCCATCCATCCATCCATCCATGCATCCATCTATCCATGCATCCATCCATCCATTCATCCATCCATCCATGCATCCATCCATGCATCCATCCATGCATCCCTCGCTCCTGTGTTCCCTTCACTCATACCTGCTTTGGTTCACTGCAACACGCCCTTCCTTGCCTCACCTGGTTGGTCCACTGGGACAAGTCGCCATTTTCTCGTAGATCACGATCTGCTGCATGCGCTGGTTGCGCGGGTTGTACTCACTCCCTCCATCCATCCATCCCTCGCTCCTTTCTCACTCATTCCCTACCTCTTTCCATCCCCGACCCCACCTGCTTTGGTCCACTGCGGAAGATCCTCTCCCTCACTCCCCTTCTCCCTTACCCCCTTCATACACACCTGGTTTGGTCCACTGAGACAGGTCCCCATTATCCATGAACTCGTAAATCACGATCTGCTCCATGCGCTGGGTGTGCAGGTTGTGATTTCTCTCGTCCTCCCTCCCTTCCTCCCCCATCCCCCCATTCACTCATACCTGGTTTGGTCCACTGCGACAGGTCGCCATTATCCATGAACTCATATATAACAATCTGCTCCATGCGCTGCATGCGCGGGTTGTAGTCACTACCTCTGTTCCCTTCACAAATACCTCCTTTGGTTCACTGCAACATGCCTTTCTCTTCCTCACCTGGTTTGGTCCACTGGGACAGGTCGCCATTATCCATGAACTCATAGATCACGATCTGCTCCATGCGCTGCGTGCGCGGGTTGTAGTCGTGGCAGAAACCCAGCAGCCGCACCAGGCACGGATGGTTCTTGCTCGCCATGTGCTCGATCTGTGTGGGGGTAGGGAAGAGAGAGAGAGAGAGAGAGAGAGAGAGAGAGAGAGAGAGAGAGAGAGAGAGAGAGAGAGAGAGAGTCAAATTGCATGACTGTACCCCCTGCTGAATTAATACAAAGGACCATTTGAGAGAGAGAGAGAGAGAGAGAGAGAGTGATTGGCGAGGCAGGGATACAGGAGGTACAGAGAGAGTTGTGGCAGAACCCTAGCAGCTGTAGCAGACACAGGGAGAGACTGGGAGGCACGAGTGGTTCTTGCTCGCCATGTGCTCGATCTGCCAGGGAGGGGAAAGGGGAAAGGAGGGAGGAGAGCGAGAGAGCGGACTCTCTTCTCCACCACATACCACATACCACATACCACATACCACATACCACATACCACATTCCACATACCACATTCCACATACCACATTCCACATTCCACATTCCACATACCACATTCCACATTCCACATACCACATACCACATACCACATACCACATTCCACATACCACATTCCACATACCACATTCCACATACCACATTCCACATTCCACATTCCACATACCACATTCCACATTCCACATACCACATACCACATACCACATACCACATTCCACATACCACATACCACATACCACATACCACATTCCACATACCACATTCCACATACCACATACCACATACCACATACCACATTCCACATACCACATACCACATACCACATACCACATTCCGCATTCCACATACCACATTCCACATTCCACATTCCACAATCCACATTCCACATACCACACACCACATACGCATACTACCACATACCACATCAGCACCTCGTTCAGAAAGTTGTTAATGAGCACCCCTTCACCACCCAGAACACGCTCGGGGCGTACGGGGTGTGTGAGACATGACAGTGCACCCATCAAGTAGGCGCAACTCACCTCTTTCAGGAAGTCATTCGTCAGCACACATGCTCGCTTCACCGCCCAGAACACAGTCGGGTCGTACGGCAAGCCCCCTTGAAAACATCTCCAAAGCCCCCCGTGCCGATGCCGTGCCCAAAGCCCCTACATCCTGTGAACACCCACCTCCTTCAGGAAGTCATTCGTCAGTACGCGCGCCCGCTTCACTGCCCAGAACACACTCGGGTCGTACGGAGATGCCCCCCTGAACACGTCTCCGAAGCCCCCCGTGCCGATGCGGTTCCGCGAGGACCAGTCCGCTGTGGCCCGTCGCATGTCCTCTATGGAATACTGCTGGCAGTCGATTGGCTCCTCGCCTTCCCCCACTGCCACAGTAAACGGAGATGGGCCTGGGATGGGTGGGGACAGGCAGGGGAACGAGGAGGTTAGTTGCAATGTTTGGAGGGCCAGTCTGCTGTGGCCGTCCGCATGTCCTCTATCGAGTACTGCTGGCAGTCGATGGGCTCCTCTCCCTCTCCAACAGCAACTGTGAAGGGCGACGGGCCTGCAAGGGGTGAGGGCGGTTACAGGGGAGTGGAAAACAGGGACAGCGGGAGGAGGGATGAGGTTCCGCGAGGACCAGTCTGCTGTGGCCCGCCGCATGTCTTCTATGAAATACTGCTGGCAGTCAATGGACTCCTCTCCCTCTCCAGCAGCCACTGTGAAGGGCGACGGGCCTGTGAGGGGCGGGTGGGTACATGGAATGGGAAATGGGGAGGTGAGACTCGAGGCTGGTAACCTTCTTATGGCCCTTACACACAACAGACATTTGAAAGGGAGGAGGAGCATTCATGTAGAGAGGAAATGAGTTGCTTGCTTACTCTGCATGTTGTTTTCACTCCGTCATGACGATCGCACACAGACGCATGCACGCACACACGCACGCACGCATGCACGCAACCACACATGCACGCATGCACGCACACACGCACACACACATGCATATCCCGCCTTTTCCACCTCCACAGCACTGCCCACAGCAGCAGCAGCAGCATGCCCACACATGCACGCACACACACATGCATGCACACGCACGCACGCATGCACACATGCGCATATGCACACACATAGTGCCTTCCCACACACACGCACCCACCTTGCTTCTCTACCTGATCCCGTCGTTTCCACCTCCACATCACAGCCCACAGCAGCAGCGGCAGCGGCAGCCGCAGCGGCAGCAGCAGCAGCAGCGACAGCAGCACACATGAAAATGCGTGAAAATGCGAGCGTTGTGCGTACCTACCAGCACAAACACCCACCTTGCTTCTCCCCCTGCTCCCGTCTTCTCCACCACCACAGCACCGCCCACAGCAGCAGGAGCAGCAGCACGGCCACTGCCACCGCCACCCCAACTATGAGCCCGGTAGAAGAAGAGGAGGAGGAGGAGCCTGAGGGTTGTGAGGGGTCGGTGGGCGGGGGAGCGGCTGCAGGGGGACGGTACAGAAGGAGATGAGATGGCAAAGGAAAGGAGAGAAGTGGAGTGAAGATGGGGAGAGAACCAGGGCAGTAAAAGTAGCATCAAACAGCAGCCCTCCCAGCAGCAGTAGCATCTGCAGCAGCAGAGGCAGCATGGCAACTGCCACAGCCAACGCAACGATGAGACGCGTAGAGGGAGAGGAGGATCTGGAGCCCCCTGAGGGCTGTGACGGGCCAGCAGGGGCTGGAGGGGAGGATCTCGAATCGCCTGGGGGTTGTGAAAGTGAGCGGAGCAGCAGGAGGGAAGGGCGCCGGAGGACATGGGGGGACAAGGGACGAGAGACAAGGGGAGGAGAGCAGTGGAGTGTAGATGGGGAAAGATGAGGGAGAGGAGCAGGAGGGAGTAGTGGTTGGGAGGAGGGAATAGAAGAAAAAAAGGGAGGCATGGTGGTGAGATTGCATGAATGCGGCACCTGGGAGGCAGGGTGGCGGATGGGAGTTGATGGAAGCCTCACCTGGGAGGCAGGTGGAGCAGAGGTCGGGGCACTCCCGGCAGAAGGCTGAGTTGCGGGAGACTGTTGAGGGGCTGACTAGAGCGCACACACTGCTGCTGCTGTCGGTGGTGCTGTTGCATGTCATGCTGCTGCTCTTCATGCTGCAAGAGAGACGATGGGCGGGTGGGACGAGCAAGAGAACGCGAGGAATGAATAATGGGGGGAAATAGTATAGATGGAGAAGTGATGCAGCGAGTTTTGAGACGTCTCAAAATTCGTGGAAATGAGTATGGAGGGGAATAGTATAGATGGAGAAACGATGCAGCGGCTGGCATGCGAGGAAGTGAGCCTTTAATAAATGGGAAGAAGTAAGAAATGAAGCGACTGACGATGCGAGGAAGAGAGTAAGCAAGCAACTGACAACATGAGGAGGAAGAAAGACATTTTAAGTCAGCGTGTGGAAGTGGGAAGGTAAGCAACTGACAAGGTGAGGAAATCAGAGAGGTTTCCGAGAAAAGCAGGTACTGAGCCGCTGATGGCCGTGTTGCTGATGTCACTGGAATGGAGATTGGGAGGGAGGGAGGATGGTGGGTGGGAAAGAACAATTGCTGCTTGAAAAATGAAGAGCAACGAAGGAGGGGAGGGCGAGGAACGAAGTGATAAGCTGGAAGAGAGTGGAACGGGTCATTAGCTGATCATGGTACAGTCACAACACAGGATGGTCCGTTATACACGTCACAACACAGGATGTTACACGTCACATCACAGGATGTTACACGTCACAACACAGGATGGTCCATTCTACACGGGCGAGATTGGATGCGTCTCAACATTGCTGATTGCATGACTCACACCACCCTGCATGCCTGCCAGTGCCGCACAGCTTACAGCATGGTGAGTTGAGCGAGACGGCTCAGGCTGAGAGGCAGGGTGCCATTGAGCTGAGTTGACCCCAGCTTGCTGGTGGTGGCAGGCAGGGCGTGGAGGGTGAAAGAGCATGGAACGCAAATAAGTATCCAAGGGAAAAGAGCAAGGTGGTTCCGAGAATCCTAAAAAAAAACCCTCAGGGTGAGCGGCAGCGAGCCATTAGGCTGAATTTAGCCCAGCGTGCTGGTGACAGGGAGTGGAGAGCAAAACACTCTTGCTTTAACAAGTGGGTTGTGAGGCTAACATGATGCTGCGACTGATGCTGCTCTCTGTATGTGCACTTGAAGATAACGAAAAAGGCGGAAAGCGGTGATAATGCAGAAACAAGAGAACTGGAAGGAGAATGGGAAGGGTTGAGAACTGATGTGTGTGAGACCCTTCCACCTACTCACAGAGACAGCTGGGCAGTATGGCTGCCCAATGCCTCCGAACTAACTCTTACGTCAACAAAAAAATCCAGCTGTGCGGAGAAAATACTTGTTGCGTGGACTCAAATGAGCCACCTGGTCACTCACAGAGGCTCTAGGGACGTGAGGAGGTGGGGTTGCCTAGTGTGTAAACTCAGTAATTGACATTGTGTGTGGACTCAGAACAAGCCACCTGGTAACTCACAGAGACTCCAGAGACGTGAGGTTGCCTATTGCCTCTGGAATGCTGCCAACCAATCCCTCGTTGCCACCCAAGCTTCTGCGCACGGCTCGTAGAGGGAGGAAGGACAACGGGGGCGGGGGAAGAATATAAAGAGGGAAGACGGAGAGATTATAAATGAAGGGAACGAGTTGAGGAAAGTAAAAGAAAAAAACACTAGAGGCACAGGGGAACGATACGGAGATGGCAGAAGCAGACGAGAACCAATAAGCATGTCCCCACAACCCCAGCTAAAGCTGGCACTTGAATTCAAGTTTGAAGGGTTCAAGGTTTATGGAAGGAGAGAGGAGCAAGGGGGGGGCCGCACAAGGTGGTGAGGTTGGTGAGAGTGGCGATCTGAGGCAGAATGGGCCCTGTGAAGCCATTGCTGCTTAGGTCCCTGCTCATGCAGTGAGGGCATGGGGGAAGGTGCGGATATGAGATATCTAAAGAATGACCATGTGAAGCAGTTGCTGCTCATATCCCTGCTCACGAGGTGCAGGCATGAGGGAGGTGCGGGCATGGGTGGAGGTGCGGGCACGGGGGGAGGCACGGGCATGTGGGAGGTGCGGGCATGTGTGGGAGGTGCGGGCATGTGTGGGAGGTGCGGGCATGTGTGGGAGGTGCGGGCATGAGATTCTGAGACGATTCCCCTGAAGCGGTTGCTGCTCAGACTCCCTCATTGCCCATTGCAGGCATGGGGGAGGAGCGGGGGAAGGGTGGGAGGAGGGGGGACCTAGCAGATGCCACCCAGTGAAGCTGGATGGGGCGACTTTTGAGGCGCCTCTAAAACGTTGTGGGGGCAGGGTAGGGTGGGAGGGAAGGGTGGGAGGGAGGTGGGAGGGGAGACCTAGCAGATGCCACCCGGTGAAGCTGGAAGGTGGGACGATACTTCAGTCAGCTCAAAAGTCGTCTCATCTCGTGCGGGAAAAGGGTCAGAGGGGAGAGTTAGCGGATTCAAACTGGTGAAACTGAGAGGTGGACGGTGGGGAGCAGGGCAAGGAAAGAAGCGACCATGTAAAGAATAGAATGAGAGAGACTCGACACTTTGCCGTGTGTACGGCCTCAGTTATAAAGGTGGGCACCAGAAGTCTCTTACAGGAGGGAGAGGAGCTTGGCTTGGTCGATGAAAGGGGGAATGGGGCCCGATAGTTCATTGTGGTGCAGAGAGCTGATGATAGGTTGAGGGTGAGAGAGAGGGGTTGAGACGGAGAAAATGCGAGGAGGACGAGGGAGGAGTGTAGATGATAGAGAGAGGATGGAAGGGGAGGGATTGGAAGGATGAGAGGTAGGAGGGAGCGGAGGGAAGGAGGAGGTGAAAGGCGAGTGACAGTAAAAAGCATGATGTGTCACACGCACCCTGAGGTTTGTTGAAACTAGCATGATGCTCACATGCAGGCACCTTCCCTTTACCGAAACACAGTGCTTGAAAGTCTGTGCTGCAAAGTAGGTCTTCAGAAATTAACTAATGTTCCTTCAGCAATTGGAGATTCGGAGGTTCGTGAGGCTGCTGAAGCTGCTGGTGCCATTGTAACGAGGAGGTTTTTGAGTCTACTCAAGAGTCACATTTGGCATCCAAGTGGCGTTCAGTCAGACTCACAGCGATCGCAGGTTCACAAGGTTGCTGAAGCTGCTGGGAATGGTTCCGTCAAACGCGTTGCTGCTTAAGTCTCTGCAGCCCCACATGGCATGGCATGGCATGGCGCATATGACAGACACAGTTACTCAGGCATTTTTTTGAAACGTCTTCGAGGTCAAGTTCCCGAAAGCACTCGTCGCATGGCGCATGTCATACATTCAAGCATTGCATTGCATTGCAGCACTCAAATACCGGTAAGTTGAGTGCCAGTAGCTGTATGCTATGTGTGTCGCATGCGGCGTTTCTATCTCACCATGCTCTCGGAGTGCAAATGTGAATGATATATGGTGTAGAGAGAGGGTAGATAATGATGCATCGTGCATTGTGCATGGGAAATGTATGCGTGGTGCATGGTGCATGGCAAATGGCGCATGCTGCATTGTGCATGATGCATGGTGCATGGCGCATGGTACATGGTGCATGGCGCATGGCGCATGGGGCATGTCGCATGGTGCATGGTGCATGGCGCATGGTTGATGGCGCATTGTCCATGGCCCGTGGCACATGCTGCATGGTGCATGGTGAATGGTGCATGGCGCATGGTACATAATACATGGTGCATGGCGCATGGTGCGTGGCGCATGGTGCATGGCGCATGGCACATGGTGCATGGCGCATGGTGCATGGTGCATGGCGCATGGGGCATGGCGCATGGTGCATGGTCCATGGCGCATGGGGCATGGCGCATGGTGCATGGTCCATGGCGCATGGTGCATGGTCCATGGCGCATGGTGCATGGCGCATGGTGCATGGCGCGTGGTCCATGGCGCATGGTCCATGGCGCATGGTGCATGGTGCATGGTCCATGGCGCATGGTGCATGGTGCATGGTCCATGGCGCATGGTGCATGGTGCATGGTCCGTGGCGCATGGTGCACGGTACATGGTCCATGGTGCATGGTGCATGGTGGATGGTGCATGGTGCATGGTCCATGGCGCATGCTGCATTGTGCATGATGCATGGTGCATGGCGCATGGTACATGGAGCATGGTGCATGGCGCATGGCGCATGGTGCATGGCGCATTGTCATGGCCCGTGGCACATGCTGCATGGTGCATGGCGCATGGTACATAATACATGGTGCATGGCGCATGGCGCATGGTGCATGGCGCATGGCGCATGGGGCATGGCGCATGGGGCATGGCGCATGGCGAATGGTGCATGGCGCATGGTGCATGGCGCATGGCGCATTGGGCATGGCGCATGGTGCATGGTCCATGGCGCATGGGGCATGGTGCATGGTGCATGGCGCATGGGGCATGGCGCATGGTGCATGGTGCACGGCGCATGGGGCATGGCGCATGGTGCATGGTGCATGGTCCATGGGGCATGGCGCATGGTGCATGGTGCATGGCGCATGGGGCATGGTGCATGGTGCATGGTGCATGGGGCATGGCGCATGGTGCATGGTCCATGGCGCATGGGGCATGGGGCATGGTGCATGGGGCATGGTGCATGGTGCATGGCGCATGGGGCATGGCGGTGCATGGTCCATGGCGCATGGGGCATGGGGCATGGGGCATGGTGCATGGTGCATGGTGCATGGCGCATGGTCCATGGCGTACAGGTATTGAAGGTTGAGCAGCGCCCCAAGGAAGTCAGGAAGGGGGCCGGAGAGCTGGTTGGAGCTCAAGTCCCTGACGGCACAGATATTTTTTTTAAAGTAGACTGAAGAAAAGCTGGTAGGAGCTGAAGAAAAGCTGGTAGGAGCTTAAGAAAAGCCCCTGACTATACAGAGGGGCGGGAAGAGAAAAACAGCGGTGGAAGTGAAGTGCGTGGGAGGGAGTGGGAGAGAGAGAGAGAGGCTGTTCAGCGGGCATGATTGTAGGCATGGCGTGTGAGAGGCTTACAATACATGGCAAACGGAGGATTCAGTAGTCATTGTACGGCATGCGTGATTAAGGGTTTCAAAGACGTCTGTCTCGAAAGGATCACAGGCGTGTGAGGTAGGTCAAGTGGCTCACAGGCGTGTGAGGTAGGTCAAGTGGCTTATTGCGGATGGGATACCTCCACTCAGCTGCTGCGATGGGAGAGACCTGCATGGTGGCATGGTGGCATGGTGGCATGGTTGCATGATGGGGGGATGGTGGGATATGATGATGGGGTGGTGACGCCATGGGGGGGTATCAAGGAAGCGGCATCAGGTTCTGCACTCACATGCGCACATTCGACGGCACTCAAACACATGCCGCACTCACATGCACGTTGCACTCACAGTGATGCACGACACTTCACATGAATCTACGTCACACTAACATGAATCCACGTCACTCTCAATAAATCCACGTCACACTCACCTGAATCCACGTCACTCACATGGAAGAAACTCGCCCCGACACGTCCTTGCAGGTCAGACCCCACGCGGTGGCACACACCCCGTTCTTCTGCCACCCCGCGAACTGCTTGCCCCACGAGCCCATTATCTCTGCCAGCCACTTGGCTGGTGTGCGTGTGAAAGGAAGAGGGAAAACGAGGAGTATGGCTCAAGATGAAGGGGGGTGCACAATACATGAAGCGGCACTGCCACTACTACTGCTCAAAAGCCACCCCGCGAACTGCTTGCCCCACGCGCCCATTATCTCTGCCAGCCACTTGGCTGCGAACGGAAAGAACAGAAGAAAGGAGGAGCATCTGTCAAGATGAAGCGGAGGTGCACTCTGTACATCAAGCGGCACAGCCACTGCTGCTCGAAAGTCACTGGGAACTGCTTGTTCCACGCGCCCAATACCTCTACCAGCCATTTGGCTGGTGTGGGTACGAAAAGAGCAGGGAAAGCGCGGAGCTGCATGACTCAAGATGGAAACGGGATTTCTGTATAGAGTTGAGGAAGGGAGAACACACTGTCTGTTCATGCCGGGCATGAAAATTTCTGTTGGTAACACACTGCAAACTACCAAAATAGGCTTTTGAGTTCACTTGAGATTGCTTCGTTCTGCGCCCATCATTGTGAGCCGTCGATCGCAGTGGGATATGCCGACCGTTCAAACGGTCCCTCCCAATAAACCTATTTCTGAGTCGACTCAAAAAAAGGCTCAACAATTTTGAGTCGACTCAATAACGGGGATATGCCGACCTCTCAAACGGTCCCTCCCAATAAATTTTCCCTTCTGAACCTGTCCTACGCTTCAAAGCTGAGCCTGAACTTGCCCTTCTCTCCGCCTTTCCCACTTCGCCCTCTTCTCACCCCCGATATCCCTTCTTCTCTACATCTTCCTCCCCTAACCCCACCCTTCCTCCCGAGCCCTTTCCGTCCAAGCCCTTTCCGTCCAAGCCCTTCCGTCCAAGCCCTTTCCGTCTAAGCCCTTCCGTCCAAGCCCTTTCCGTCCAAGCCCTTTCCGTCCAAGCCCTTTCCGTCCAAGCCCTTCCTTCCAAGCCCTTCGTCCCAAGCCCTTCGTCCCAAGCCCATCGTCCCAAGCCCTTCGTCCCAAGCCCTTCGTCCCAAGCCCTTCCTCCCAAGCCCTTCGTCTCAAGCCTTCCTCCCAAGCCCTTCGTCCCAAGCCCTTCCTCCCAAGCGCTTCGTCCCAAGCCTTACCCCCAAGCGCCCATCATCTCAACACCCTCCATCGCGCGGTCAAGGCGTCGCTCACCGTCGGCTTCGTGAATCCACGACGAATCTGCAGCTCTTGCAAGAAGCACCCCGCCGTCGCCGCCGCCGAAGCCGCCGGCGTCATGACGCCGCACTGCAGTGCCCGCGAGTCGCGGTTGCGCTCCGGGTTGAAGCGCGAGAAGCACGACGAGTAACAGCACGGCTGACATTCGCCGCGCGTCACGCCGCGAGAGGAGGACGGTAGCGCGGGCGCGTCGCCGAGGAGGCACGGCGAGGGGGACGGATGCTGACCGTGACGCGACTCCGTGCCTCACGCCGCCGCTACATGACGCGACGCCGTGAAACGCGAGGGTTCGTATTGACGACATGGGGCGGCTTTGGAACGGTAGATTTACTACTACCACAACCACACACGGTATTAGGCCCCGCTACTCAAATGGGTCAAAACGGGGGTGCTCTAGAGGGGCAGCGGATGCATTCGACCCTCCGAGGAGGCGCGCCGCGGCAGGCGTTACACACGAACTCAACAACTACACGTAGCACTACTACGGATCGTACAGGCCGTAGTAAGTTTGAGGGAGGAGAACTAAAGCAGTACGTTGTAATTTCCTTACGTCGTCAAACCGAAACGAATCTTTCCAAGTAGCGATGATAGATGATAACTATACTTGAAGTTCTGTTGGCTAAAAGGAAGGAAGGGATGTACAAGGGAATAGGGTCGCAAAAAAACTACTTATCGTCGCATTGCGTGGAAACGGTCTGCAGGCATGCGTGACTCCTACGTTCAAGATATGCCTCTTGGCTCTGGCTCCTGTGCGTGGAGTGGATTGCTGTCAAAGTTATTGTGGATGCAGGTCGTCCCAGTCTCCAATATAATTATTGGAGGTGTGTGTGCATTTGGCCAAGAAGCAGCTACGCAGCGCTTTGGATGTAAAACGAAACGATAAGCGAAGGGTTGGATCGATGAGGTCGACGAACCATAAAA